ATAGAGAGAGAGAGAGAGGAGGAGGAGAGAGGAGGAGGAGGAGGAGGAGGAGGAGGAGGAGGAGGAGGAGGAGGAGGAGGAGGAGGAGGAGAAGAAGGAGGAGGACGAGGAGGAGGAGGAGGAGAAGGAGGAGGAGAAGGAGGAGGAGGAGGAAGAGGAGGACGAGGAGGATCAGAAGGACGATCAGGAGGAGATGGAGAAGGAGGGGGAGGAGCAGGATGAGGAATTGGAGGCGAAGGAGGGTGAGGAGAGTCAGAAGGAGGATGCGGACCAGTGTAAATCCAAGACTCATCATCGATATTGTAATACACCCTTCCTACATGCTCCCTCTTCACAGGGCCCTACGTACAAGGATTCAGATTCACTGCGGGAAGTGCCCCGTTGGAAGACAACCGCTTGAACATCCCGAATTGTGTCAGAACGCCATTCTTCGGATTTCGACGCCGCGACTCATCATCGTAACTGTTGCGTCTTGACGATTCTGGGCTGCGCCAGAACACCGTTCTTGGGATTTCAACACCGCGAATGAACGTAACTGTTGCGCCCTGACATTCCGGCGTCGGGCCACAGCGCCTTTTCTGGGACGTTAACCGTGAGAATTTTTGAAACTGCTGTAACGTCTTAAGCAGATGTGCGCCGCGCGAAGACGAGAGCCACATTTTGAAAGCGGCCCGCCCTCCATCCGCGGAGTTCTCTTCAATTTGCTAAGGTGAATGTGCGCGGCGCCATGGCGAGAGCCACATTTTGAAAACCACTCGCCCTCCATCCGCGAAACCCCTGCAATTTTGTCAGACGAGTGTGCGCAGCACTAAGGCGAAGGTGAGGGCCTGATTTTGAAAGCCGTCCGCCTTCCGTTCGTGCAACTATTGCGCATTTGAAGTATCAGCACTATAAGTGGTACGGAAGTCTCAGGCGAAACGCCCGGCCCGCCCTTGCGACCGGCCTCGGGGTGCGACAGGGAGGAACGATACGGGAAAGGAACGGAGGAGGAGGAGGAAGAGGAGGAGGAGGAGGAGGAGGAGGAAGCGGAAGACGAGGAGGAGGAGGAGGAGAAGGAGGAGGCGGAGGAGGAGGAGGAGTTGAGAAAGAGAGAGAGAGAGAGAGAGAGAGAAGAGGAAGAGGAGGAGGAGGAGGAGGAGGAGGAGGAGGAAGAGGAGGAGGAGGAGGAGCAGGAGGAGGAGGAGGAGCAGGAGAAGGAGCAGGAGGATGAACGTAAGGAGGAGCAGCAGGCACCCGGTCCAGGTCTTCCGGCAGGCCATGGCGGATGGACTGCTGGCCGTGCGGGCGCACGCCGACGAGCTCCTGGCCCTGCTGCAGCTCAGCACCCTGGGCGCCGAGAACAGCAGCCAGAGGTCGGGCGATCAGAAGCGTGCACATGCACCGATCCTGGCCACGCCCAGGCTGGGCCCAGGGTCGATGCATATCGGGGACGGAAAGGAGGGGGTGATGACTAGGGGTGTGTGGATATCAAGGCGGGGGCCATGATATTTCCCCAGATTTCATGGCGCCTCTTCTTATTTCATTACGTCCTTGCCCCCCCCCCCTCTGGGCCGCGCACATGCTGCCGGTCATGATTTGCACCCCCCCTCTTGGACACCCTCCTCTTTGCCGCCCTTGAGCATATGCCCAGCTGTCCGAGCCAGGAGGCGTAGGCACCGATTTTGGGCCCGGGATGGACCAGTCCATCGGGGAACAAAAAGTGACATAAACATGCAAATTCGGAGGTCCGCGCGGATTTCTCGGATCCGCGCTGGACCCCCCTCCCTGGCGCGCGAAGCGCGCCAGGGGCGGCGCCAGAGGCGCCGCCGGGGGGCCCCTGCGCGGATCCGAGAAATCCGCGCGGACCTCAGAGTTTTTATGTTTATGTAACTTTTTGTTCCCCTAGTCCAGGGCCGGTGTATGTACGTGCACTTATCTTTCCTCTGAGAGGTGCTTCACTCATCCGCGCGGCTACCCCGAGGCGGTGCTGGAGGACGTGTGCGGGCGCCTGGGGCTGCCCAGCTGCGCGGGTCGGCGCCAGGGAGGCAGCGGCGGCGCAGCGGCCGTGGACTCGGACGAGGGCTTCAGGGAGTGGGTGGACAAGATGATCGACGACTCCATTAGGGGAACAAAAGGTAACATAAACATAAAAAAACTCGGAGTTTGTCGCGGATTTCTCGCATCGGAACTGGGCCCCCCCGGCGGCGCCTCTGGCGCCGCCCCTGGCGCGCTCCGCGCGCCAGGGAGGGGGGTCCAGCGCCGATCCGAGAAATCCGCGCGGACCTCCGAATTTTTAGGTTTATGTCACTTTTTGTTTCCCTATCCATGGGCCACTGGCGTTCACGGCTGTACGACAAGTATCTGGGAAGGCTGCGCTCCCTGCCCTTGCCCCCCCCCAAGTCTGGGCCGTCGTTGGGCCACGCCTGCAGGCCGTCTGGGGGCACTCGTGGGGGGGGCCTCGCCCCCCAGGCGCACTCCGGGCCGTCTTCGGGCCACGCCTCTGGGCCGCCTCGGGGCACTCGTGGGGGGTCTCCCCCCCCTGGGCGCACTTCGCGGGAATCCTCGGGGCAATCTCCTGGCCCTGGCGCCTCCAGGGTGGCCGCCCGGGGTGCGCCGGTGGCCCTCTAGAGAGGGGGGCCGCGGACCAGTATCACTTCACCGACGTCCACTGACCCGGCCAGGCGTGGCGAGCGCCGAGAAGGTCGGCAGTGTCGGCAGCTAATGCGCGAGGCCGCGCGAGGCCGCTCGCAGCCGGCGATTCCGCGGGAGGCGCCTGCTCGTCCCGGGTCCACTCGCCACGTCGCCCGAGTCTAAGGAGGGGAAAAAGCACACAGACACAATCAATCGTCGACTCCCCCAGAAAACATGGGAAAATATGGGAAGTGGGGGGGAGACAGGAAGCTAGAAAATATGGGAAAATATGAGGAATGTTTTTATTTGTGTGTATTTATTTGTGTGTCCTGGGGCCCCTTCAAAGTCCTGCTCCTCGCCTCCCCGTCCTGCTCTCACCGCCACCCCCAGACCTATCCCTGGAGCGCGTTCTGGCTAGAGTTTCGAGGCGGAGCTGGCCGTGGTGGCAGGGGCACCCCCCCTAGAGGCCCGCAATGGGGCCAGGAGCTCCAGAAGACCTCGACCTTCGAGCCTCGATGCCCGAACCTCGGCGACGAAGTCGAGGAGGACGGGCATGAGGAGGCCCTCCTTCTCCTCTTCCCCCTCGTCCCAGTCCTTCTCCTCGTCCTGCTCTCCGTCCTCCTTGTCCTTGCCCCTCACCCCCCCCCCGCCTCCCGTCCTCCTCGGGACGGGGACGAGGAGGAGAGCCTCTGCGACGAAGGGTGGCGACGACCCGCCGGGCAGCCACCGCCCGGCGCCAGGACAAGCGCTCCGCGCCGCCCGTCAACGAGAACACGCGGCCCGCGGCGGACCTCCGGCCGAAGAGGGAGGAGCCCAAGGACGGGCGCAGCCGGGCGCCCGCGGGGCGGGATGGGGGGACGAAGATACGGGGACGTCAGCGCTGCAGACAGCCAAGCCGTGTGAAGCACGGAGATGCTACAATCCGGGGTCGAGCGATAGAAGCAGGAGAGAGACCATGATGTGTCAAGTGAGCGGGAGGCTAACCAATTGAGTGTGTTAACGGGCGACTTAGGAGGGCAGGCTTGGGCGGACAGATCTCGCCCTCCCTCATTGACAGCAGCGCGTACATCTCAGCTCCCCGATGGGAGTCCTTGCCCTCTGGGGCAAAGCGCGTGAAGTGCCACCACTTGTCCTTCTCGGACGCGTCATGCGCTGTCTGGGGAACGGGTTCCAGACGGTCCGATTCCCCCCTCTCCAGAGATTCCCCCCCCCTCGATGTCATTCATAACGAAGCTCCAGCCAGTCGATGATGACAGTCGACGCTAGCAGTACTTTAGAGAGCACGTGGGCCGATCCTTTCTTGTGGTCTGGGTGGACGCGCTCGCTGTAGCATTTTCAACTGGAGCTGGCGTGAGGGGAGGGACCATACTTACCTTACAATTGCTTGGACAACACAGTAGTGCGACGGCCTTCTGAGCAGTCGCAGCAGCCAGTACAGATCACGATACTTAACGCCTGCAGGGGGATCCTTGACATAGAAATCGTGTTTGCTGGTATCTTGCAAGGAGCACCTTGCTAGGGCTCTGGCGGCTGCCACACAGCGTGTCCACGGCGATCTACAGGCAGCTTTGCTCTAGAACGCCACATACACTTACGGCACATTCAGGACTTTCTAATGACAGTTCACTCGTGGTTGGCTTCGCCCATGGACGGGAATAGTAAGGGATGTGGAGTAGCGCCAGAGGATGCGACAGCAGCGACATCAGGGGTTTGGGCTGGCTTTGATGGTTTGCCGCCCTGGCAGCCGCTGCAGGCACTTTTTGCGCGGCTATAGCTCCCGGCCTGGTACAGGGCATGCTCGCTTCCCATGCCCCGGCGCACGAGAGCCACAATTTGAAAAAACTGCCCTCCTTCCGTGAAGCTGTTACGTCTGTGTCAGTTTCTTGTCTCTATATGGTGAGAAGGTCGCGAGCGAAACCCAACTTTTGACAAGGGGCCGTCCTCCGTCCATGCACCCACTGCAAAGTGTTAAAATACGAATGTGCACGGCGCTGAGACGAGAACCCCACTTGGAAACATAACCGCCCTCCATCCTCGCAGCTGTTGCAAGCAGTGCACGACTGTGCGCGGCGCTAAGGCGAGAGGCCCATTTCGAAAACACCCTCCATCCATCCGTGAAGCAGTGGCGCTGTTACGAACTGTTAGGACGAGTGCACGCAGCGCTAAGGCGAGAGCCCTATTTTGACCGGGGGTCATAGGGAGGAAGGAAGTCTCAGGCGGTTTGCCCAGCCCGCCCTATCGACACGTCTGGACGAGGAACACCGTGGGGGGAGGACAGGGGTAGCAGCAGGAGAAGGAATAGCGGGGGAATCGGAGAGGGGAAGGAAGAGCGGTGCTTGACACATGGACCTACAGTGGATTTTTTCCTCAGCGCCGTGGTGGCTGGGAGGATGGACGAGGAGGAAGAGGAGGAGGAGGAGGAGGAGGAGGAGGAGGAGGAGGAGGAGGAGGAGGAGGGGGATGAAGTGGCGGAGAAAGGAGCACAAGCAGGATCAAGAGACGCAGGATGATGATGCAGATGATGATACTGCTGATGATGATGCTGATGCTGCTGCTGATGCTGATGTTGAGGTTGATGTCGATGGTGACGGTGGTGATGATGACGACGACCATGATGATGTTGTTGATGATGATGTTGACGAACACGATGATGATGTTTATGCTGATGATGATGGTGATGATGCTGATGCTGATGATAATGATGAGTCTGCTGATGATGATGGTGATGATGCTGATGCTGCTGCTGATGATGCTGATGATGCCGATGACGATTGTGATGATGACTATACTGTTGCTGCTGCTGATGGTGAAGCTTATGCTGATGATGATGCTGATGACGACGACGATGATATTGCTGACGATGCTGATGATACTGATTGCGATGATGATGATGCTGATGATGATGCTGATGCTGATGCTGATGCTGTTATTGATGATGATGCTGCTGATGCTGATGATGATGCCGATGACGATGAATATGATGATGCTGGTGCTGCTGATGCTGATGATTATAATGACGATTATGAGTATGCTGTTGCTGCTGCTGATGGTGGTGCTGGTGCTGATGATGATGATGCTGATGTTGATGCATATGCTGTTGTTGATGACGATGCTGATGATGCTGACTATGACTATGATTATGATGATGCGGATGATGTTGACGCTGATCATGCTCATGCTGATGATGATGATGATGATGATGATGATGATGATGATGATGATGATGATGATGCTGATGATCATGATCATGATCATGATCATGATGCTGATGATGCTGCTGATGCTGCTGATGCTAATGCTGATGCTGATGCGGATGGTGATGCTGATCGGATGATGCTGCTGATGACGATGATGTTGTTGTTGATGATGCTGATAAGGATGTTGATGTCTTTTGTGTGGCCACCGCTTGCAACGTGTCAAGGGGGGACAGGAGGGTGGCAAATACAGTTCTGTGAGTTCATGGGCAATGAGGAGGAACCGTAGATTAGGGAGGAGGAGACGGAGGAGGCGGAGTAGCACTAGCGGGATGAACATGTAGGAGAGGAGGAGGAGGAGGAGGAGGAGGACGACGACGAGGAGAAGGCAGATAATGTTTAGGACGATTGGGAGGAGGAGGAGGAGGAAACACAGGAGGAGGGAGGAGGAGGAGGAGGAGAATGAGGAGGAGGAGGAGGAGGAGGAGGAGGAGGAGTGGGACAATGAGGAAGATGAGGCGGAGGAGAATGGATCACGAGGGGTCGGACGAAGAAGGGGAGGGAAGAAGAGGACGAGGAGGAGAGGAAGATGAATGAGGACGCTGCGGAGAGGAATGAGGAAGGAAGGGGGAGGGGGCGGGAAAGTAGAACAGGAAAGGTAGAGACAGAGAGAGAGCGAGAGAGAGAGAGAGAGAGAGAGCGCGGGGATCAGAAGAAGCAGGACAAGGAGCAAGGAGGGGCAGGAGGATGAGGAGGGAGGAGGTGCAGGATGAGGAGGAGAAGGAGGAGGAACGAGGACGAGTGTGAGGAGCGGAATAAGGGGGACGGATGGAGAAGGCGGAGAAGGAGGAGGGATGGATAGCCATACGGGAATCGGGAGCGGCTCGCAGAAGTCGGACCCTCATGGCTGGGCGCATGGCCGGACACCTTCGCACCATGCGAAGGATGAGACAGCACCACGCCCAGAAAACAGCGTGTGATTATTTGGTCCTACCTTCGTGAGGAACGCTGCAGCACAACACTATTTGTAGCAGCACTTGTCGGTGTGGTAATGGGAGGGCAGTAGCTGCACTAGCAGTAGCACCAGTGGTACCCAAACGACGTTGAGTCAGAGCCCCGAGTCATCAGGGTTAACTCGGGTCAGGGCTCACTCGGGCTCGTTTTTCGGGAATCCGAACCCGAGTTACCCTGGATAACTCGGGCGCCCAATTTAGGAGGAGGAGGATCCGGAAGAGCGCCGCCCAGATGCTGCCTCCGTCGACCGTGCCCAAGAAGAGCTACATTGAGAGGCAGCAGCTTGCGGTGGGCGACCAGGCCGTCTGGCTGATGGTTCGAGGAGGATGGGGAGGCAGAGTGGGAGGAGGGCACACACACACACATATATATATACGTATGTACACATGCGTACATATGTGGACGGGCATCGCCATATATGTATGCATACTACATAGATGCACATATGTATGTGTATGTTTACCTACATACATATATATATATATTGTCCCCCAGCACCCCGCCCGTCCATGCAATGTGTGTCTATTTCTTGGTAGACATGTCTATACCATTATCTCTTTCTCTCTCTTTCCCTTTCTCTCTCTCTCTCGCTCTCTCTGATCTCGGGGCTGTTCTGAAGATCAGTGTTTGCATGTTTGTGCAAAGCCGGGCTCAGGATCCCAACTAGGTCACACATCTGAGGCACCCAACACAAACCACACACAAACCAACAATAACACACAACCACCAGGCAACAAACAGTCATGAGTGTGCGGGAACACGGTTAAGGCATGGTTCACTTTATGCCGGCTTAGAGAAGTCACTGGCTTCAGTTTGCAAACACATGGCGTTCATGCGATCTCGTATGTTTCCTCACTCTTTTGTGATGGGTTCTCGCTTAGACCAGAGCACAAATTGCGCGAATCTCCCGCCACCTCCTGCATTATCATTATCCTCCTCTTTCTCCTGCTCGCGTCTCCTTCTCCTCCTCCACCTCCTCCTCCTCCTCTCCTCTCCTCTCTTCTCGTTCTCCTCTTCCTCCTCCTCCACCTCCTCTTCCTCCTCCTCCTCCTCCTCCTCCTCCTCCTCCTCCTCCTCCTCGCGTCACCTTGCGGGGCTGCGAACTGCGCAACTGTCGCCACTTGCGTGGGCTCCTGGGAGCTCCAGCGGAGTGGGGCGCCACGCACACCTCACCGAGACCTCGCGGCTCCCTGGGGGGGCTGGCAATTGCGAAACAGCCGCCATTCTCGTGGGCTCCCGGGAGGCAGGGCGGAGTGGGGCGTCACGCGCACCTTGCCGAGACCTCGCGGCTCCCTGGGGGGGCTGGCAACTGTGCTCCCTGGGGGGAAGGGGGCGGCTGGCAGCTGCGCAGCAGTCGCCACTTTCGTGGGCTCCTGGGAGGCAGGGCGTAGCGGCGTGTCACGCGCACCTTGCCGAGACCTCGCGGCTCCGTGACGGGGCTGGTAACTGCGCAACAGCTGCGCAACTGTCGCCGCCTTCGTGGGCTCCTGGGGGGCAGGGCGGAGTGGTGTGTGACGCACACCTCGCCGAGACCTTGCGGCTCCCTGGAGGGGGGGGGGCTGGCGTTGCTTTGCCCTTGTGCTGCCACTTCTGGGGGCTTGGTGCTTTTCGTTGCTCTCGCTACCGTGCCATTCCACCTTATGGGCGTGTCCCATTCGACGCCATGTTGTTTTCGCTATGTGTGTTAGCCATTTTTCTCTCTGTCGCGCTCTTCTGATTTCACGTTGGGTTCTCCTGCGCACTGCGGGCCATCCAACATGTTCGGTTGTATTGAGCGGTCCTGGGTATAGCTGCCACCTGTTTAGAACGAGTTGCGTATGCCACTCGGCGTCCCCGTGTTTGCACCGGGATGACTGACGTTTAATGTTGTGCTGTCTGTGGAAGGACAGGTGACATTCAATGGGAACACTGTGCCCTTGCAGTGGGACATTTGACATGTTTAGGCCGGGAGCAGGGGACCCCTGTAAAAACACATCACTTCCGTAGTTTTGCGAATGCGTGTCGTTGCTCTGTGTGACATTATGTGTTTGTGTGTGTGTGTGTGTTTTTGTGGAGTTGGGACCGTGGGTGGGATACGACATGCCAGATCAAACATCCAAGACCCATAGAAGCACACAACAACAACAATTCATGCGTTCCCAGTGGAGCAATTGATTTTTTTTTGGTCGGGAACAGGTGATCCCTGTGGCCACACAGCCTCTCCGTAGTTGTGTGAATGATTGGGCTTTGCTATTTTGCTTTGTGATTGGTCTTTGCTATTTTGCTTTGATAGTTTTCGGAGGATGGGACGTACATATGGGGAATCCCGCATCATACACCAACCAACGATAGCAACACGAAACATGTAGTCATAACATTGTGGGCGCTCTATCAGATCACAGGGTTCATGTGTTATCGACGTAAAAAGTCAAATGCTCCATTGTAACAGCATGCTGCTTTCATTGAATTCCATTGGGCTGTTCAATATGAAACCAGTACTAGGACTAGTTGGTCTCCGTGCTTTCACAGGTGTCGGTTTAATTTGTCGTGTTTCGTCTCAACATCCCGTTGAAATTGCACATAGCGTTCACTGGCCACCATACATTTTAAAGTGATGCCACTGGCTTGTCCCATTTGTGTTGTATCCCTGGAACAGGCGGGCCTCGTGGACACTCAGCGCTTCCGCACCAGTTTGACTGAGTTGGTATCGTGTTTTGTTTGATGCTGTCTGGGTTGTTTTTCTTGTTTTTGACTTGTATGGGGTCTTGAAGGTTCGTCCCTGTGGTAATCTGGCGCTGCTCCTTTCGGCTCTCGGGCCGCTGACGCTGAACCCTGCGAGGCTCGTGCCAGGTCAGCTTCCAGTGCAGTGCCCGTTGGGGCGCGTGCTCCTAGCTCACGCGCTGTTGGTGCAGAACCCATCGGGGCTTGTGCCATCCGCGCTCCTGGCACAGAACCCTTCGGGGCTTGTGCTCTGTACCACTATGGTGCTCCACCCGTTGTGGCTCTTGCCGCTGGCACTGAACCCTTCGGGACTCGTGGCAGGTAACCTTCGAGCGCAGAGCCCTCCGAGCTTCGTGCTTCCAGCGTAGGTGTTGTTGGCGCTAAGTAAACCTCTCAGGGCTCGTGCCGCTGGCGCTGAACCCTCCAGAGCTCGTGCCAGGTACTCTTCGAGCGCAGAACCCTTCGGGGCTCGTGCTCCTAGCTTACGCTCCGTTGGTGCAGATCCCTTCGGGCTCGTGCCAAGTAAATGAACTTTGAGCGCAGGGCACTTCAGGGCCCGTGCTCGTAGTGTGATCGGCGCAGAACTCTTCGTGGCCCGTGCCATGGATCTCGTTGGGCGTCCACACTGCATTCAGGTGCGTTGCTTCGATATTGGATTTGCGTTTGTAGATGCGACCGTTTTCGCCTTAGCGCAGACATGCTTTTCCGATGGGTCTGTCAGGAGAAGAGGGGGACAGGAAGAAAACGAGGACAAATATACAGCGACACATCATTCATTCGCCTGGCATCGTCTTCATCACCGTCGTTCTTTCTCGTGGACGCCGTTGCAGCGATTTTGGTGTGCAATATGTCATGTTATGTGTGTGCTCTCGGATGTCTTGCCGTTGTGTTGGGTTCTGTTCGAAAGCACCCACCTTCCCTCGTTCTCCCTCCCTCCCTCCTTTCCCTGCTGCCTCCTCCGCTGCTTCCTAGCTTCCCTTCTCAATCCTGTCACGTTGGACCTTGCTCTCGTATCTCACGTGCTCTGCTTTCCCGGCAATGGGGCACGTGCTTTGTCAGATAGTCTGACTCATGTGTGTCAATCTGAGCATGTCAGTTTCTTTGTGGGGCTCTCTTGAGGCCCTGTTGGCCAGATTTTAAAGCGGTCATGGAGGCACTCCTGGAGCCCGAGCACGATATGACGTAACATCTCCCATTCTTCCGCCGCCGTTTCCTCTTCATCCTGCGGACATGTTTCCGTCATATCCCAAGAGGGAGAGGATAGAGGAGGGGGGAGCGAGAAGGAGAAATCGGCGGATGAGGAGGAGGAGGCGAAGGAGGAGGAGAACGAGGAGGGCGAGCAGAAGGGCCAGAGGCCTCTTGGAGGCCTCTTGAGGCGGCTTGGGGGTCTCTGGGCAGTCCTGGGGGCCTCTTCGAGCGTCTGGGCTGCCTCTGAGGGACAGTTCGGGAGCCTCTTGGGGGCGTCTTGGGGGCTTGTTGGGGCCGCTTGGGCGCCTCTTGGGGCCATCTTGGGGCCCTCTTGGGGGGTGCTTTCGTGGGAGCGTACTGGAGGAAGTCGATCAACGAGGGAGTCCTTAAGTATCTTCGCCCCGCTGGAGCTCCCGAAGTCGCATCGTGGGGCCCTCTCGGAGCGCTCTTAGGGCACTCTTGGGCGCTCTTGGGGCCGCCTTGGGGCCGTCATGGGCCCCTCTTGGGGCCTCCTTGGAGCCACCTTGAGGCCTCGGGGAACTACCGGAAGCGAACGGCCCAGTCGGCCACAATCAGTTTGTTTCCTTAGGTTTTGTAAGGCTTGCGGCGCCTTGTGGGCCTCCTTGGGCTCCTCGCGGCCACTTGGAATCATCTTGGGACCATCAAGGGGCCTCTAGAGCCATCTGGAGCCAGCTTGGGCCATCCTGTGCCATCTTGGAGGCCATCTCGAAGCATCTGGGGCCCTCTCGGCGCCCTCTCGGGGCAAAGGTCTGCCAACGATGCCCCCGAGCAGCCACACTTCTTCAACACCCTTGTGTTTTTTTCAACGTTTTCGTTGATCAAAGAGGGGGGGATCCTCAATCATGGTTCCTTCTGGAGCCCCCACGGTCGCCTCTTGGGATCTTTCTGGGACGCTTTCGGGGCGCTCTTGGGCACTCTTGGGGCCGTCTTAGGGGCTTTTTGGGAGCCCCTCGTAGGGCCCTCTTGGGCCCTCCTGGAGCCATCTCGATGACTCGGAAAAGCTCTCGGACGCGAAAGGACAATCACTGAACTTCTCGCTGTTTTGAAGGATCTGGGCCTCTTGGGGGCGTCCTGCGGAGGCCCCTAGCCCACAAGGGCCCGTCTTGGAGGAGTCTTTGGACCTCGTGGAACATCATTGTGCACACCATCTTGATCTGTTTGCATTATCTTGAGCCATCTTGGAGGCCATCCTGAACTCTCCGAGGCCCTAATGGAGCCATCTTGGCCTATCGTGGACGCTGTAGCGACCCACGACCCTTTTCCCTGGGAGGGGTCGAGCTGCCCTCCTAGATAGCAGGCAGTCTAGCTCACTCCCACCCGCCCTCCCAGCACAGAAGTAGCACACGAGTGTCCGCAGATCGCCCAGGAACGACACCCAAGCCGTGTTCGCCACGGGGTCCAGGTGTGCGCCCGGCACCCTGGAGGCCCAAGGCGTGCCAGGTGCGGCACGTGCTCCACGCGCGCCAGCTGTGCCAGGTGCTCCAGCTGCGCCAGGTGCGCCAGCTACGGGGAACCACTATGGACCCCGGGTGCTTGGAGCCCTGGCCTCACGGAGTTCAGGATCTTGGATACCCCTGAAGCGACGTGCCGAGCATGCTGTGAGAACGGCGGCTGCTCCCCGGGAGCTCAGAGCACCGACATCGATTGACACGTTGTGACATTTTGAGGAGCCGTGAAGCAGATGAGAGCTCGAAGAAGCGAGGGCAGTGCACATGCTCCAGATTTGGAGCCACAGTGCTTTTGTAGTGTTTTTTTTGACAGGGATGGTTGCCCTGCGCACAACCAGCAATGTGCGGCACCCCGGCCGTTCCTGTCAACAACTAATGCAAAGTGGTCGCGGGGCGCCTTCGCATGCTCCAAATTTGGAGGCACAATGCATGTTGCATCGATTTTATTTGGGATGGAGGGGGCGGGGTTCTCATTGGTCCAGGGCTGAAGGTCGCCTGGGGGAGGTGGCGTTTACTAACACGAAACAGTGATAAGCCCCTCCCCGAAGGGGAAGAACGGGCGTGGAAGAGGAAACCCGCTAAACCACTCACGTCCTCCTCCTCCCCGTCTCACCTCTTCCTCTTCCTCCTCCTCCTCCTCCTTCTGTTCTGCAGCTCGCGTGGGCGGCCCTCGCTGGGAGCACGCCCATGGTAAGGCAAAGCTGTTCCCTCCCGTCCCGCCCCTGGTGCCTCCTCTGTCCGCCTTCTTTGCCCCCCGCCCCTCCCAGCCCTCCCGTCCTCTCTCCCGCCTCCTTCGTCCCCCTCTTCTCTTCCCCCCCCCCCGCTCCTGGACGGGGGCGAGGCCGCGGGACCGCAGCTCCTCCCCCCGCTGTGCCAAAGGCCCGTGGGCGAGCGAAACATCGAAGCATCAGCGTGGCGGGTGAGCGGAGAGGCGGCCGCCCTTGGCAGCGCGCGGGGCGCGCGCATCTCCTGCGGTCCTCCCTCCGAGAGGCCTGCGCCGTGCCTCGTGCTGCGGCGCGCACCCCGCTCGCTCGCGCTCCCCCTCGCGCTCGTCCTCGGGTCCCTTTTGCAGCGGCGGCTTCCTCCAGACAGCCCCAAGAGCACTGCTTCTGCTCTGAGCGGCCCGGCGCGCCGCCGCGGAGCTCGTGCACCGTGCGGTGCTGCGGTGAGCCTCGCGCTCGCTCCCTGCTCCTCGTGCTCGGCCTCCGGCGTTTCCTCTCCCTCCCCTGGCGCGGCGGTCCTCGCCCCTGTCCCCCCCCCTCCTTGCACGCCAGCCAGTGATGGCCACTCGGCTGCCCCGCATTGCCACGCGCCGGAGCAGCTTGCCCCTGCCTCTCGCCGCCGACGGAAAAAGGTCGGTGCTCCGGTCGGCGATCGGAGTTCTGCGCGTTCCTGCCCTGCTGCTGCCGCCCCTCCTTCTCCTACTCCTCCTCCTCCTCCTCCTCCTCCTCCTCCTCCTCCTCCTCCTCCTCCTCTTCTTCCCCGGGCCCGTGGGGCGGACATGCATTTTTGGGGTATTTCGTATTTCTCGTCGAAAATCCCTCTGCAGGGGGGCAGGCCCGACTTAATCCTAGATGGGGTCCGAGTAAATGGGGCCGGAGAATCGTGCCGCATCGTCGACGCATCGGTGATGCATCGCCGACGCGGCTCGATGTGGGGCCCAATTTTTTCTCCACGCCGACGTCGCGGATGTATTGCCGACGTCGCCAGTGCATGGCCGATGCATCGGCGATGCGTCGCCGATGTGTCGGCCATGCGGCGCAATCCTCCGACACCATCTACTCGGACCCCACCTAGGAGGCATCTAGGGAGGTGACAAGGAGAAGGCCTTCTCAGCAGGCGACGGGACTTCTGGGAAGCCCTCGCGCCTTCTGAGAAGTCTTCTCGGTCTTCGGGGAAGGGCCAGGAAGCTCCTCAGAAGGCCCGGGGACCTCCGAGCCTTCTGAGAAGGCCGGCCCCCTCTCACTCCTCCTCCTTCTCCTCCTCCTCCTCCTCCTCCTCCTCCTCCTCCTCCTCCGCCCTCCCTCGCTTGCCGTCGAGGCCCCTGGGGGGCTTCGGGCGCGAGCAGGGGCAGGGACGAACACACACATCGATCGGGCATCCTGCCGCTGCTCCCTCGCTCCGCGGGGTCTGCGGCAGGCTGGATTCAGGAGGGAAGAAAAGCACAGACACAATTAGTCGTCGATCTCCCGGTAAAGATGGGAAAATATGGGAATTGGGGGGGAGGAAAAAACCCAGAATTGTGGGAACATGTTGGGAATCCGGTTATTTGTGTCTATTTATGTGTGTGTGTGTGTGTGTGTGTGTGTGTGTTCCAGGGCCCCTTCATGGATGGAGAGCCTCTCGTGGCGCGCCCCGAGGTGATCGTCACCAGCGGCGACGTGAAGAACCTCCGAGGAGCCCCTTGCGGCCCCCGGGGGGCGCAGGGACGATGATGCGAGGCTGCGCCCAGCGCGGTGCATGGACTGGGCGGAGGACCCAAACCTCCGACGCCTCGATCGTTCGGGCCGCGCCCGGACCTCGTCTTGGAACCCCCTCTCCCGAGGATCGACGGCCATGGTCTCGGGACGTTGCTGGTCGTCCTCGGGGCTCCAGCGGCCTCCGGGGGCCTCCCAAGACTCCCGTGGACCTTTGAAGGCCCCCGGATACCTCCGCGGGCCTCGGGAGGCCCTGCTGTTCTTGCTGCCCCTCCGTGGGGCTTCCGCGTGCAGTGCAGCAGCGCTCGAAGTTGAGGCCTGCGAAACTTTGTCCATGGCAGCGCTTCGCTGCAAGCTGTTGATCAAGCCATGACGGACAGACGCTAACAACAATCAAGCTGCCAAGGCCAACAGAGAGGACATATCAGACAGCGACGACGACAGTCGATGCAGTCTCAAGAGGACTAATAATACAAGCACGAGCAGCAGACAGTCGATGCGCGAATGGATGAGCTACAGGTGCAGTCGCTTCCGAAGAGCGGTCGCCTGTCAAGGGCATGCGCGCTGTAGGCTTGTGTAGCGCGGCTCCTCCTCCTCCTCCTCCGCCTCCTCTTCCTCCTCCTCCTCCTCCCCCATTCCTTCTATTCATTAATTCCTCCCCGTCGCCCCCCGAGGTGCGTCGGTAGGGCGGGCCGGGCGTTTCGCCTGAGGCTTCCTCACAGCTTCATGGATGGAGGGTGGTCTGATTTCAACATGTGGCTCTCGCCTTAGCGCCGTGCGCATTTGTCTTTTTCAAAACATGCAAGAGTCTCGCAGATGGAGGTCGGTTCCTTTTCAACATGTGGTTCTCGCCTCAGCGTTGCGCACACTCGTTCTAAACAGTTGCAAGAACTTCACAGGCTGGAGGGCGGGCCGCTTTCAAAATGTGGCGCTCCCTTTAGCGCCGCGCGCATTCGTTGTTTAATGTAATGGGTTCGTGTGTTGAGGTCAGTTCTTTTTCCAACATGTGATTCTCGCCTCAGCGCCGCGCGCATTTTATTTCAAGAGGTTCCAACCGTCTCCAGGGTTCTCATGGCTAACGTCCCAGAAGTGGTGTGTTGGCACGATGTCGGATCGTCAGGGCGCAACAGTCGCATTGATTCGCGGTGTTGCAGTCTGCGAAACGGTCTTCGGGCACCAGTCAGGATCGTCAAGACACAACAGTAACGGTGATTCGCGGCGTTGAAGTCCCAGGAACTGTGTTCTAACGCAGTTCAGGATTTTCAAATGGTGGTCTTCCAGGGGCACTTCAGTGGCCTCTGAATGGCTTATGAAGAGAGAACTTGGAAGGAGGGTTTGTTGCAAGATCGTTGGTGAGTCTTGGGCTTGCACTGTTCCTCCTCCTCCTCCTCCTCCTCCTCCTACTTCCCTCCGAAACACGGGTTCTTGGTTTACGCTGTGGCCGTTATTACGACTCTCCACGCTGCCTCGATCTCTCGTGACCCTCCTTGTGCTGTGTTTTATTCTCAGCCATCATGTGGTGGTGGGTCGTCGTTTCGAAGAGACAGCGCCCCGCGTCTCACCTCTCCTCTCCCCCTCCTTCCTCCTCTCATGCCGGCACACCTCTCACACGCTTCGTGGCCCCATGGGAGATCCACCGAAGGCCCCAGCAGCAGGGTTCACATGCGGCTCCCCGCTTAACGCATGTAGAAGCAGGCACACCTTTCACACGTTTCCTGGCCCCACTGGGAGCTCGTCCGAAGGCCCCAGTGGCAGGGTTTACATGCGCTCCCTGCACCATCTAGGCACACGCATCACAGGATTCGTTGCCCCATAGCGAGCTGTTCCGAAGGCCCCAGTGGCAGGGTTCGCATACGTCGCCCCCGCGCCATTACCGTGCACCCCTCACACGCCTCGTGGTCCACTGGGGAGCTCCACCGAAGGCCACAGTGTCAGGCCTCGCAGGCGTCCCCCCGCTCCATATCGGTACCCCCCTGGCACGCCTCATGGCTCCATAGGGAGCTCATCCGAAGGCCCCAGTGGCAGGGTTCGCATGCGCCCCCTGCACCATCCCGGCACACCCCTTGCACGCTTCAAGACCCGATAGGGAGCTGTTCCGAAGGCCCCGATTGCAGGGTTCACATGCTTTACCCCGCATGCATCATGCGGGCAAATCCATCACACGTCTCGTGGCCCCATAGGGAGCTCCACCTGAGGCCCCAGAGGCGACGTTCACATGCGTCCCCCTGTCCCATTTCGGCACACCCCTCACTCGCTTCGTGGCCCATAGGGAGCTCCACCGAAGGCCCCAGAAGCGACGTTCGCATGTGGCCCCATAGGGAGCTCCTCCGAATGCTCCAGAGGAAGGGGTCGCATGCGTCTCACACGTTTCGCGTCCCAATCGGGAGTTCCTCCGAAGGCCCCAGTCGCATGCGGGACACGTTTCACGGCCCTTTAAGGAGGTCCACCGAAGGCCCCACTGGCACAGTTTGCGCGCGTCCCCCGCAAAATTTCGGCGCACACTTCACACGCTTCGTGGCCCCATAGGGAGCTCCACGGAAAGGCCCCAGTGGCACGATTCGCATGCGTCCTCCCGCACGATTTCAGTACACCCCTCACACGTTTCGCGGTCCCACAGGGAGCTCCTCCGGCAGGGTTCGCATACGCCCCCCCCCCGCTCCATGTTGGCACACCCCTCACAAGCTTAGTGGCACCGTAGGGAGCTCCTCCGAAGGCCCAGGTGGCAGGGTTCGCATGCGTCCCCCGCACCATTTCGGCACACCCCTTCACTCACACGTTCCGCGGTCCCACAGGGAGCTCCTTCGAAGGCACCGGAAGCGATGATCGCATGCGGCCGTCGGCCCCATACCGGCACACCTCCTACACATGTCGTGGCCCTGTGCGTAGCTCCTCTGAAGGGCCCCAGTAGCAGGGTTCGCATACATCCCCCCGCACCATTTTTGCGCGCACACACACACTCTCTCTCTTACACTCTTACACTCTTACACAATTACACGCTTACACACTTACACACCTACACACTTACACACATTCGCACTTATGCACTTACACACAATTACATTTACACACTTAAGCACTTACACATTTACACACATACACACGTACGCACTTACACACTTCCACACTTACGAACGTACACTCTTACACACTACACATTTACACATTCACACATTTACGCATCTACACACTTACACACGTACGCACTTACACACCTACACACTTACACACTTACACACGTACACACTTACACACATCCACACTCACTTACACACTTACATACTTACTCATTTACATACTTACACACTTATTCATACACTTACACTCTTACATGCGTACGCACTTACACGCTTACACATTTGCACACTTACACATTTTCACACGTACACACTTACGCACGTACACACGTACACACTCAAACACTTACACACTTACACATTTACACACTTACACACTTACACACTTACACACACAGCTTACACGTTTCGAGGCCGCTCAGGAAGCTCCTCCGAAGGCTCCAGCGGCAGGGTTCGCATGCGCTTTCCCGCGCAATTTCAGCACACTCGATCCCGCGGCCCTGTAGGAAGCTCCACCGATGGCTCCAGTGGCAGGGTTCGCATGCGCCCCCCCCCGCGCCATGTCGGCACACCCCTCACACGCTTCAGGGCCCCACAGGGAGCTCCTCCGAAGGCCCCAGTGGCAGGGTTCGTATGCGTTTCCCCGCACCAGTTCGGAGCACCCCTCACACGTTTCAAGGCCACATAGGGAGCTGTTCCGAAGACCCCAGTGGCAGGGTTCGCATGCGTCCGCCCCGCCCATTCGTGCACACCCCTCGCGCGGTTCGTGGCTCTAGAGGGAGCTCCACCTAAGGCTGCAGAGTCGACGTTCGCATGCTGCCCACGGCCGCCCGCCCCATGTCAGCATACCCCTCACCCGCTTTACGGCCTCATAGGGAGATCCACCGAAGGCCCCACTGGCAGGGTTTCACCCCTATTCGGCACACCCCTCTCACGCTTCGTGCCCCAAGGAGCTCCACCAAAGGCTCCAGTGGCAGCGTTCGCATGGCACCACCGCGCCCACTTAGGCACACCCCTCAAACGTTTCGTGGCCCCGAAGGGAGCTTCACCGAAAGCGGTATCCTTACGTATTTACAATTGCATTTGGTTGGGTGTTTCGCCTGGATATTTTTCCCCCTGCCATCTTGTGGTGGGTCATCGTTTTGAAGAGACAGCGGCCCCTCATCTCCTCCTCCTGCCCTCTCCTCCCTCTCCTCGCTCCTTCCATCCCGCGTCCTCATCGTCATCGTTCTCCGCACCATGCCAATGCACCCCTGCCACGCTTCGTGGCCACATCGGGAGGTCTTCCGAAGACCCCAGTGACAGGGTTCGCATGCGTCCCCCCGCCCCCTTTCGGCACACCCTTCGCACGCTTCATGGCCCCTTCGGGAGCTCCTCCGACAGCCCCAGTGGAAGGAGTCGCATGGGTCTCACACGTTTCGCGGCCCTCTTGGAGCTCTTCCGAAGGCCCCAGTGGCAGGGTCGCATGCGGGACACGCTTCGTGGCCCCATAGGGAGCTCCTCCGAAGGCCCCAGGTGGCAGGGTTCGGATATGCTCCCCCGTCCCATTTCGACACGCCCCTCACGCGTTTCAAGGCCTCATAGGGAGCTGCTCCGAAGGCCCCAATGACAGGGTTCACACGCGCCCGCACCACCTATTCTGGCACGCCCCTCACGCGGTTCGTGGCCCCATCGGGAGGTCCACCCGAGGCCCCAGAAGCAACGTTCGCATGCGTCCCCTCTTTCCATGTCGGCGCACCCTTCACACGTTTCGTGGTCCCAGAGGGAGCTCTACCGAAGGCCGCAGTGGCAAGGTGCGCATGCGTCCGCCCGTACAACTTCGGCACACCCCTCACACGTCTCGTGGCCCTGCAGGGAGCTCCTTCAGAGGCCCAAGTGGCAGGGTTCGCTCCCCGCACAATTCCGGCACACCCCTCACACGTTTCGTGGCCCCATAGGGAGCTCCTCCGAAGGCTCCAGTTGCAGGGTTCGCATGCGTCCCCCTGCCCATCTCGGCACACCCATTCACACGTTTCGTGGCCCAAAGGGCAGCTCCATCGAAGGCCCCCTTGGCACGGTCCGCATGTGCCCCCCCCCGCACAATTCCGGCACACCCCTCACATTTTTCGTGGCCCCAGAGGGAGCTCCACCAGAGGCTCCAGTGGCAGCGCCCCATCACAGTTTCGGCACACCCCTTGCACGCTTCGTGGCCCCGTAGGGAGCTGTTCCGAAGGCCGCAGTGGCAGGGTTCACATGCGCCCCTCGCATTATTTTTCGGACTACGCCTCTCGTGGTCCGATCCGGAGTGCTTCCGAAGGCCCCAGTTATTTGGGCACACCCCTCACGCGTCTCTTGGCCCCACAGAGAGCCCCTCCGAAGGCCCCAGTGGCATGGTTCGCATGCATCCCCCCGCATAATTCCGGCACCCCCTCACGCGTTTTGCGGCCCCATAGAGCGCTCCTCCGAAGGCCCCAGTGGCAGGGTTCGTATGCGTTTCCCCGCGCCATTTCGGCGCACCCCTCGCACGTTTCAAGGCCACATAAGGAGCTGTTCCGAAGACCCCAGTGGCAGGATTCGCATGCGTCCGCCCTGACCATTCTGGCACGCCCCTCACATGCTTCGTGGCCCTAGAGGGAGCTCCACCTAAGGCCCTAGAGGCGACGTTCGCATGCGTCCCCCTGCCCCATTTCGGCACACCTCTCGCATTTTCCATGGCCCCATAGGGAACTGTTCCGAAGGCCCCAGTGGCAGGGATCGTATGGCACTACTTCGCCCATTTCGGCACACCCCTTCACACTTTTCGTGGCCCCGAAGGAAGTGCCAACGAAATCGGCACACACAATGCGGCATTTACAACTGCATATGGTTGGGTCTTTCGCCAGGGAAGCTTTTTTAGACGTGGACTCCGCCACATGGGGTTATTGTCTTCCTCTTCCGTCTTGTCTTTCCATTCTGAGAGAGAGAGAGAGAGAGAGAGAGAGAGACGAGGTTTACTGCATTCGCTCTCGGTTTAGCCGTCCAGGGGGCTAACCTAGCGGGCCGCTTCGCCACGGCAAGGGGGCAGGCGGCGACGCCCAGAATCAGGTCTGTTCACCAGTGTGCACGCGCGTGCCGAAGCAGACCTCCTTCTTAGCCGTCGCAGTCGAGTTTCCTGTGGACGGGATTGATGACGTCGCCCTGTTGTTTGCATATCCTACTGTTTATCTACTCTGGATTGTCACTTGCCTCTCTCGTACTGGGTCCCTGGCCCGCACGCCAACCAGAAAGCGGCCGACAGGTGTGGTAACGCAGGCCCTGTTCCAGTCGAAGACGGTGTGGGTGCAGCCGACTGTTCCGCCGAGTTCAATCAGCATGTCGCTCGAGGCGGGATGCGGAGGCGGAGGAAGCATGTGATGATGGTGTTGATGATGCTGATGTTGATGCGCCTGATGATGATGCTGATGGTGATGCTGCTGATGATTTTAATGATGTTGCTGTTGCTTGTGATGATGATTGTGATAACGGTGATTGTGACGACGATGATGCTGGTGGTGATGATGGTCATGCTGATGGTGACTATGGTGGTGACGATGCTGACGATGATGGTCATGATGAGGAGGAGGATGATAATGATGATGACGACGACGATGACGATGACGATGCTGATGATGATGATGATGATGATGAGGATGATGATGATGATGATGATGGTAATGCTGATGCTGGTGTTGATGATGCTGCTGCTGCTGATGATGATGATGATGATGGTGGTGGCGGTGATGATGACGACGATGCTGATGATGATGGTGATGGTGCTGATGATGATGGTGATGCTGCTGCTGCTGCTGCTGATGATGATGATGATGATGATGATGATGATGATGATGATGATGATGATGGGGATGATGATTATGCTGGTGATGGGGGAGAAGGACAAGGAGATGGAGGAGGAGGCGGAGGAGGAGGGACTAGGAGGAGCACGAAGAGGAGCATGAAGAGGAACACGCGGTGAGGGAGTAGGAGGACGAGGGCCAGCAGGAGACCAGGATGAAGAGGAGAAAGAAGACGAGGAGGAGGAGGAGGAGGAGGAGGAGGAGGAGGAGGACAAGGAGGAGGAGGAGGAGGAGGAGGAGGTGGGTGGTCTGGAAATCTACAGTACCTTACCCTGCACCACCTCTACCACGTGTATCCTTCTAGTGTGCCTACCACATCTGCTACACCGACCGCACTTGATGCAAGTAGTTTGGTGCAAGTTTCACCGAATGCGCCAACCTCCACCAGACCGATCAGGTCCACCACAACTCCTTCTCCGATCGCACTTGCTCGCACCTTCATGGAACAGGCACGGGCGCAGAAGGTAGAAGGGGACAAGCGCGGCAAATGTATTGTAGGTGGTGGTAGTGGCAGCGCTGGCAGACGTTCACATCTGGTATAGCGAAGGCCTTATGGCCGATGCCGCCGACCCTGACGGGGGACGACATTGACGACGGCGACGACGACGACGACGCTCGCGAGCCCTTGTGGGGGCGGGCCCTGTTGACCTCGGGACCCATCCCCGGGACCCCCCCCCCTGGGATCGCATGTCGGACTCATCCCAACCGTCTGGGACTAATTCCAACCAGCTCGTATTTTTTCCAACCAGCACAGCAAGCCTAACTGGTATGAATTCCAATTGGCCGGTTATCCTCACTGTATGACTGAACCTGTGAAACGATGTTAGTACATGCCCAAACCAACTAATCGTTGAAGCGTGCGCATGATTGCCCTAGGTTGTATGTGTGCCAGACTTGATTGTGAGGATTTGGAGTTCAAGATGTAGATGTGGATGTTGGTGCCAATGAGTGGGTCACATATTCTAGAACATAAGCGAACAAAGTACAATCCCCGGACAACCCGGGCAAGGGTTGTCCAGAATTTGATTTTAGGTGTTCCAGGGTTTAGGGGTTTGATGGTAGAAGGGCTTATCGGTTCAAGGGCTCAACGGCTTAAAGGGGTGAAGAGAGAAAGGTCTTCAATGTTTAAGGGTTTCAGGCTTACAGGTTTAGAGGCTTGATGGCTTACGGGCTTCAGGGGCTAAGGAATTCACTGGTTAAGGACCTAAGGATCTAGGGATGGTCCGGAGATTTTGTTGTAAACATTGAAAGGGTTACGGGTTAAAGCGTTTTAAAGTTTTCGGGGTTTAAGGGTTTAAGGGCTCACGGGTTTAAGGGTAGAAGGGTTACATGGTGTAAGGGCTTGAGGGCATCCTCGGAAGTGGGAGCCAAGGTGCCACGGCTGGAGGATGAGGGGGAAGAGGAGGATGGTTCGAGAGACGGAGGAGGAGGAGGAGGAGGAGAAGGAGGAGGAGGAGGAGGAGGAGGAGGAGAAGGAGGAGGCTCTGAGAGACGCCTGTAAGACGTCTGTCGGAGCCCGCCTCTCAGAGGCGCCTGTAAGACGCTTTTTCAAAGACGCCTGTAAGACGCCTTTCAGAGCCGCCTGTAAGACGCTTCTCAGAGACGCCTATAAGACGCCTGTGGGGCTTCTCGTGTAGGTTGGTTGGGATTCGTCTTGAAGTGGTTGGAATTCGTACCAACATGGTTGGAATTAGTAGTAAGGTGGTTCGAATGTGTTGTCGTTGGCTGCAATTTGTTCCATTTCCCCGCCGCCCCCCTCCCCCCAGGGACCGCCCGCCCCCAGCGATCCCCTTCCAGGACCCCCCCCGCTCGGAGAGAAAGGATCAGAGGGATAGGCCTGCCCTTCGGCTCGATTGATGTTCCCCCTCTTGCAGCTCTGTGGGGCTCTCTTGGGCCGTCTTGGTCGGAGAGGGGGGGGGGGGGGGGGCAACGACCCCTGGGGCCACCCCCCAGGCCACCATCCAGGCCCCCCCCCCCAGGAACCCCCCACCACCTCATCCTCCTCCTTCTCCTCCTCCTCCTCATCCTCCTCCTCCTCCCCCTTCTCCTCTCCTCCTCCTCTTCCTCCCCCTCCTCCTCCTCCCCCCCTGGCGGGGAAAGCGGGGAAAAGGGACTTCGCTTTGACTCGATTGCGACGGTGTTCGATTTCCGTTTGGCCGGATCGCTCAAGGAAGACGGCCCAGGGAAAGGGGGAGAGTGGCGACGACGACGACGACGACGACGACTCAAACGGAAAAGGAAAGCGGCGAAGGCGAAGGCGACGACGACGACGACGACGACGACGACGACGACGACGACTCAAACGGAAACGCGTCTCACACACGCCGACAGGGTCGGCGGATTTGGGGAGAGAAGCCAGACAGGAGGGCTCAACTGGAGAATCAGTTTTGTGTCGCAATCATGCGATATGCCCTTGCCGAAACGCTTCGCGCGCCATACCGATTGTGCTATCTCGAGTTTTCGATGCAACTCTTCACAGGTGGCCACGCCTATCGAGCTTCGGGGAGCTGGCAAAGCTGGTTGCAGGCGCATTTAGTTACACTATCGTGGATGCGCTCCTTGTCCTCCTTCCCTTCTCTTCGCTCCGCTCTCCTCCTTCCTCCTCTCCGCTCAGCTCCGCTGCTCCGATTTCCCCTCCTCTCCTCTCACTCTCACTCTCCCTCTCCCTCTCCCTCTCCCTCTCCCTCCTCCGCTGCGTCCCCCTGGAGCAGGCGGAAGAGGGTGGAGCTTGAGGAGAGGTGGGAAGCAGGAGGCGGACCACGAAGAGACAGGACACCGAAAAACGCTCAAGAAAGAAACGCCATGATAATGCCAAATCTAAATCCTCTGCCAGTCGTCGTCGTGCTCGGGTCTAGTTGTCTTTAGTTTCTGTCAGTTATCTTGTTGTTGCTTATTCTCTCAAGCTTCTGCATGTCTTTCATTTCTTCACGAGTTCCGCCTCCTGCTACCCCTCCTCCGACCTTCACCCCCCTCATGCTCCTCCGTCTCATGCTTCCACCCCTTTCCTCCGCCTCCAGTTTCTCCTCGCGATCCTTGTTCCGTTTTCCTTGCTCCGTTCCCACCAAATAAGAAGATTGGATTGCTCATTTTTTGTACGGGCTTGTTGGAGGGGTAAGGGCCCTTACGGTGCGTCGCGTCGTCTGTTTACAGCGACGGGTACGCACATCGCAGACACACTATTTGCAAATCTAGGTGCACATACCCATGCACGTGTACGAACGCACGAGATACATACCACGCACATGTATAAGCAAGGCCACACGCACGTGCGCGCTGCCCTGCAAATCGCATGGGCGCGTGCCTGGCTGTGGCCTCTGTGGTGATCGCGGTGGGCGCGTGGTGGCGCGTGGTGGCGCTGGCCTCTCGGGCAGGGTCGGCCAGCCGACCCCCCTTGGCCAGAGGCCCCCCAGGTGTGGCCCGCGCACACGGGCTCGAAGGAGCGCGCCGCACCGCCGAGGCATCGCCGCTGCATCGGCGGTGCATGCCGCGACGCCTGCGGTGCCTCGGCGGCGTCGGCCGCGAGGACGCACGGGCCCCGCAGCGAGCCGCACCGGCGACGCATCGGCGCTGCGGCGCGAGCCTTCGACCCCGTCCACGCGGAGCCCGTCCGGGAGGCCCTCGAGCGGCCCGAGCCGGAGCGCCGACGGCCCCCCCCCCGGCCATGTCGCTGGGGCGCCGCCCCGGCCGCGGAGGCGCGCCGCGGCCGCCCTGGGCCGGGCTGGCGGTGCTCTGCCCCCGCGCCTGGCTGCCGGCCCCCGACGCCTCGGACGCCACGGGGGCCCGCGGGGGTCAAGCGGTGGCGAGGCGTCCCGGCTCGCCGACGTAGCCCTGCCAAGCCATGCTCGAAGGACCGGTTGTGGTTCCCACGGAATTGTCTCTTAGAACGTGTCTGGCGGAGGTTGTCTCGTTTTCACACATCGGGCTTCTGTTCTGAGAGCATTGCTCTTGCTCTTGGAACATGCTTGGGTTCTGAGAACATGTCGTGGTAGGACTATGGGAATGCCGGGACGGTCGGTCCCTGCTCAACCTCTGGGGCACAGGGGGGGGGGCTGCTGAGGTTTGTGCCTGTCACGCCACAGGGGGTCCCGCCGGGCCGTCTTCGCCACTTTCGGTTTTCCCAAGACCTTGTCTCGGGCCCCAGGGCCGTCCAGCGGGATCCCCTCGGGACGCAGCCCGGATCCTGGGGAAAGCGTTGGGGTCCACGGCGTAATTAACCACGAGGACTCCTTCCCTTCACTCCAACTCGCAGGCGAATGCTCGCACCCAGTACCCCTCCCCTTCCCACATGTTCGCCCCGGAGCTCCCCTTCCGTCAACGTCGGAGGGCGCAGTGAAGGGCGAGTCGGACGAGGATGCCCAGACTCTTTGGGCGACCAGGGCTTGTTGCAGGCATTCCCCACCCGCGCCGAGAATGACTGATGGCCCCGTCACTGGGTGATCATCGACCGCAGATTTTTCTGCCTCTCTGCCGATCGTGGACGTTGGGAGCCAGCCGGCGTTAGTTGGGCCGAATGGGAGGGCCGTCATTTTCAGGGTCAGGTGGTACCGTTGGAACTCCCTCCAGAGGCCAGCCCAGCCTTGCTTTCTGCCGCTAGAGCGCCCTCCCAAAATTCTCTGCCCTGCCCATACTGCCCTCACGCGCCAGCGAGAGGAAGCGGGTTGAGGCCGTCCCCCAGGTGGAGGTGTAGTTTCCCAAACCGACTCAAAGCGGGAATGCCACCTGAAACGCGTTATGTGATGCCTCAGAGCAGTACGCTCGTGAGCCATCATGTGAGACGACCAGGGGCCCGAAGACCATATGTGATATGAGATCGCAGGGTGGCGAATGTGCTGGGACGAACAGGGCACGCTGGAGTCGGATGAGGACTACTGTGTGTGCTTGCTGCGGTCTTCGTTCGATGCAGCGCTCGCGTCGTTCCCTGGTGGCGAGCTGGCATCTGCAGACCGGGCGCTGGCGCGAGCGAACTGGGCGCCGGGTGATGACGTGGACGGCGACGTCTTCCTCGGCCTACGTGTCGGAGCCATCCGCAGCACCTTCGAGAGCACGGGCATGATGCTCGCCGCGAGCCCACCGCCGAGCTTCGCCCGCCAGGAGCTGCAGAAGATCCTTGTGCGAGAAGGGCCGATGGCCTTCCACGCGTTTCTGGATGACTGGGGCATCAGCCTGCGGCCTGGCGACGTCGAAGAGCTGGCCTGGCTGTACATCTCCAGGGCCCTGCAGACGGGTGCGCAGCAGACGGGCACGCAGCCGCCATGGAGGGCGAGCGGCAATCGGCCAGCCGCCCCGCCGCGGCGGCCCTGAATGGTCGTCATTCGCCCCCCACCTCCCCCCCCTACCAGCTGCCAGCTGCATGCCCGAATGGACGTGGCCGATGTGGCGGGAGGAGGGTTCTGCAGTACCCACAGGAGGAGGAGGAGGAGGAGGAGGAGGAGGAGGAGGAGGAGGAGGAGGAGGAGGAGGAGGAGGAGGAGGAGGAGGAGGAGGAGGAGGAGGAGGAGGAGGAGGAGGAGGAGGAGGAGAGGAGGAGGAGGAGGAGGAGGAGGAGAGGAGGAGGAGGAGAGGAGGAGGAGGAGGACGAGGACGAGGAGGAGGAGGAGGACGAGGAGGAGAGGAGGAGGAGGAGGAGGAGGAGGAGGAGGAGGAGGTGGAGGTGGAGGTGGAGGGGTGGAGGAGGAGGTGGAGGAGGAGGAGGAGGAGGAGGAGGAGGAGGAGGAGGAGGAGGAGGAGGAGGACCTGGGGCCTCGCGAGAGCCAATGGCGCCGCACCCGTCCGCTGCGCACCCGCCCCGCAGGGCCCCCGGGGCCCGTGCCCGACCTCTGGGGCGAGGGCACCAGCCCGCCCGAGGAGCACGTCTTCCTGGCGCGCGTGCCAGAGGCGCAGGAGCTGTGCTGGACGGCGGCCCTGCCAGCGGAGCGCTTCTCGGGCATCCTGTGGGCCGCGCCCTCGCGGGCGCTGCGGCTGTACTCGAAGCAGAAAGCACGGCACCAGCATGAGCTTTCGGCGCTCCGCGCGGATTCCTTGACTCCGCTCTGGGCACCCCTGGCGGCGCCTCCGGCGCCGCCCCTGGCGCGCTCCGCGCGCCAGGGAGGGAGGTCCAGCGCAGATCCACGAAATCCGCGCGGCGGAGCGCCAAACGTTTATGCTTGTGCCGTTGTTTCTTCTTCGACGTACGCCCGGGGAGAGCTGCGGCTGTCGCTGCAGCAGTGGCTGGTCCTGAGCCGGCTCGCCGAGGCGGCGCCCCGGCTGCACCTGCTGCGGGGGGGCCGCGCGTGGGCGCCGCGCGGCTCCATCTGGCGGGCGGCCGCGATGGAGGCGGCGCTGGCGCGAGAAGCGGCCACCGGGGCCCGCTTCCTGGCGCTGCCGGGCGACGAGTCGCACTCACTGCCGGGGCCCGCAGGAGCCCGAGAGCGCATCTGGCTGGAGGGCGACGAGGACCACGGTCTCAGCGCCGAGCGCTTGGAGAGCCGCCCCGGGCGGCCGCCAGGCGACCGCGACCGCGATCCACGGGCGGCAGAGCAGGCTCTCGCGAAGTCTCGTCTGTGAGGGCAGGAGCAGAAAAAAAAAAGGGTCCCCTGGTGTGCATTCCGCTGCGCGCCAGGCCGAAGATACCCTGAACGCGCGGAGCCTCTCCACGGCCAGAGCCCAAGCTGAGGGTATGTCCATTGTCCAACACCTCCCTCGAGAAAGGCAAGTCATGCTGGCTCGACCGTGGTGGCCCTCCTGGCCGCCCCCTCCGAGGCCCGACTTTCCGTGGGGACTTGGGGCCCTTTCAGGCCGAGATCGTCTCAGAGCGCACAGAATCGATCGGCCCACACCATACTTCCAACAGTCCAATCTGCACTGCTGCCGACTTTGCTGTTGGTGCCGGCTAGTAGGCTTGGAATTTGGCCGCGGAGAGTTTCCTCATCGATGCTGTCTGTGCCGAGGGTGGCGATGATGCCGACAGCAATGTTTCTCGCCATCGCGGTCGCGGCTGTGGCGGGTGGCGGCAAATTTATCAAAATGCGTCAGTGTGAACAGCGAAACCGTCCAGGCCAGGACAATTTTTTCAAGCGATTCGCCTAACACGGCGCATGCTCGTTTCATGGTCAAACATATTCGTCGTTTGTCTTCTCTCTCTCGACCGTGCCAGATGACTGGCCCCGGATGGCAGTGGCTTTCGTCTGCCAGATCCCGGGCGCCAGGAGTTCTGGAGCTCCATTTGTGTTTGCCGTGCGCTCGGCCGCTCCTTTGTTGCCTGGTGGGACAGTGTACTGTCGTCATGCCCGCGTGCTCGGGCTGCCAGCATACGCGGTGGCCATTCTGTCCTTCCTCTCCACTTTTCTGCGGGCGAGTCCGCCATGCGTTTCATCGAAGATGACACTACGATTGTGCAGGCTCGCACCAACTCCACCTCGCAGCACGCGAAGACTGAGCGTCGTCAGCAGCAACGTGCTGCCCCTGTGGAGGACGCGCCCGACTCCAGGACCTGGGCACAGTGGCACCCTGCGCATGTGCGCCATTCTGGCGGTGAGGAGCGGCGCCCCGCTTGCGCCTTCAGTGATGCCAGCATCCAGCCACATGCAGGCCTTGAGTCTCTCGGGGGCCTCTTGGAGCCTACTGGGCGCTTCTTGGGCCCCTCTTGGGGCCCTCCTGGGAGCCTCGGAAGCCCCCGTAGGGCCATCTTGGAGGACATCGATCAAAGAAGGGGGGGTCCTCAATTACGGAGCATTGCCAGTCTCCTCTTGGGGCCCTCCAGGGCGCTCTTGGGGCCGGTTTGGGATCTTCGTGGGGCTCTCTTGTGCCCTCTTGGAGCCATCTTGAGGCTTCGGAGGGCCGTCAAACGGGAAAGGGGAGAAGGCAAATAACGCTGAGTTTCGTCCAGTTTCGACCGGATTTGGGCCTCTCTGATGCGTCCATGGAGAGCTCCGAGGCCACATGGAATCGTCTTGGGGCGGTCTTTGGGCCTCTTGGAACATGTTGTAACATCTTGAGCCACCTGGAGCCATCTTGGAGGTCATCTTTGGCTCTCCAGCTTGGGCCATCCTGGACGCTCTAACCGCTCGCGGCCCCTCCCCTCAAGACCCAGGGGAGGGGCTAGGGAGAGGGGTCAAGAGTCCCCCTCCCCGCCCGCAAGCCGTCTCGCTCACTCCCACCCGCCCTCCCAACACATACGTAGCACCCGAGCCTGGCCCGAGCCTCAGCATATTCAGCAGTCGTCTTTGGATGGGCAGCTACTGGGGGCCAATCCGCCGCCGCCGCCGCCGCCTCCGCCGCCGCCGCCGCCGCCACCGCCGCCGCCGCCGCCGCCCCCCGCTGCCAAACCGCCGCCGCCGCCGCAGCCGCGCCGCCACCGCCACCGCCGCCGCCGCCGCCGCGGCCGCCGCCGCAGCCGCCGCAGCCGCCGCCACCGCCGCCGCAGCCGCCGCCGCCGCCGCCGCCAAGTGCACTCTGTATTGTTGTTTGACAGGGATGGTGGGGGGGGGGCCGCATCGGGTTGGCTGCGCATGTTCCTGGTTTGGAGGCAGATTGTGTTTTGTATTGTTTTTTACAAGGGATGGTGGGGGGGTGTCGGCATGGACCCTGGTTGGCCCCCAGTCGGCTGGGGGAGGGGGTGTATATTAATAGGGAGCAGTGATCGAGCTTCCCCCCCCCCCCCGAAGGGAGGATATCTCGCCCACTCCCGCCCGCCCTCCCACCACACAAGTAGCACTCGAGTCTCAGCATGGGCAGGGGGATGCCACCGACCATGATCGGGAACCACTGCAGACGCCAGCCAGGTGCGCGCCGCCCGCGAGGTGCGCCGTGCGTGCCAGGGTCCCCCCCGTCACCCCTCTCCAATAACAGTGCAGAGTGGTCGTTGGGCTCCCGCGCATGACCGCTGCCAGCAAGTGGTTTGATTCTTTACAGGGATGACGGGCTTGCGCGCAGCAGGCAATGTGCTGGCACCCTCTCCGTTCCTCCTGGCATCGCTCGGACGTGTGTATTTTTTCCTCGGCGAGGACCCTGGAGGAGCATCCTGGACCATCGAGCAAAAAAACACGCACGAAACCAAAACATGCACGGGAAATGGACGTCCGAGCGACGGCAAACCCTGTTAAAGACGGTGCAACGTGATCTCTTGGTGCCCGCACATGATCCAGATTTGGCGCAAAGTGCGGCTCATTTTGTTTGTTGACAGGGGTGGTTGGGGGGTGTTGGCACTGCACGCAGCAGGCAATATGCCTGCCCCCCGCCGTCCTTGTCAAACACCAATGCAAAGTGATCGCGGGTCGTCCGCGCATGATTCGGATCTTGGTGCAAAGTGAACTTGGTATTGTTTTTGTTGCAACGGATGGGGGGGTCTTGATGGTCCCACGTTTGGTGCTGGTCGGATGGGTGAGAGGGTGCGTACGAATACGGTGGAGTGGTCAAGATACCTCTAGCAGACGCAAGCTGCTCTGCTCACTCCCATCCCCCCTCCCAACACATGAGTAGTACCCGAGCCTCAGCATATTTAGCGGTCGCCTTTGGATGGGCTGCTACTGAGAATCAATCCAGACCCCAGGTGCGCGACGCTGGGATGTGGTGTGCCACGCATACCAGGCGCTCCACGTGCACTAGGCGCGCCAGGCGCCCCTGGGGCCCAAGCGTGCCGGACACGCCTGGTGCGCCAGATGCGCCACGTGGTCCACGTGCGCCCTCGCACATAGGGAAACATGTGGGTCCCCAACATCCTTGTCGAAAGCAAGTGTGCACTCGCTGCGGAGTGGCCATCATGATGTCTGGTGGGCCTGCACACAGCAGGCAAAATGCCAGTCCCCCCCCGCCGTCCCTACCAAAACCATGCAAAGTGATCTTGCGGTGCTCCCGCATGGTACAGATTTCGCCGCGACGTGCAGGTTGTATTTTATTGACAGGGATGGTGGCCATGCGCACAGCAGGCTTCCAAAGACAAAACAAAATTCTCGTCCCCGATCATGACCCAAGATTTTGCCGCAAAGTGCACTTGGCATCGTTCCTTGGCACGGATTGCGGCGGGGCGCATGGTCCTGGGTTTGTCGCCGGTTGCATGGAGGAGGGGGCGTAGATCAACAAGCAGCTGTGATAAATCCCCCCCCGAAGGGGACGGAGGCGGGGTCGGAAGAGGAAGCGTTCTGAACCACTCACGCACGCCCAGAGGGCTGGTGGGATTTTTGCATTCCTCATGGTACCTCGTGGTGGTGCCTTGACTGCATGCTCCCCTCGAGGTAGCCATCTTGAGCAAGTACTTCGAAATTGGCGACTACGTCAAGGCGCCTGGGCTCGAACAACTCCCCGCGCCCTCTCTCGGAAGTGGGCTCGCCGTCGGGCACGCGGGCAGCGCAGCTTGAGCGCCGACTCGTCGCCCTCTCGTCTCGTCCTCCCCTCGGTATACAGCCTGACCGTGGATCGCCCATCCCCTTCCCTCCCTTTCCCTTACCACTATCTTCACCCCCTCGCCCATTCCCCCTTCCTTGCCCCCCCTTCCCCTTTTCTAAGTAGGCTTGCTCCGAGACGCAGGTTTTCCCTCAAGCACTTCATGAACGTGTAGCCACTGGTGCACCGTGTTTTGGTTGGCCAGGTTTTGTCCAGACCAAATAATATGCCAGGGGCCTCTACCTCGAGCGAACCTTATGTAGTCCAAGTGTAAGTTCAGTTGCCCAAGTTTCGACACACTATTTATATACACATAGAACAGACATGTCACGTCTCTCGCGTTGCCTGGACGAGGATACCCTTGGGATTCACCCACTCGTGTCGACGATATACCTCCACAACATCCTTGCGAGTGTCTCGCTCGCGCTTGTCTCGCTTATGGCTTAAGTGCCATGGCCTGAGCTGCCCGACTCCTCTTTCTCTTCTCCCCCTCCCCTAAAAGGTCTTGGCTGGAGAGCATGAGGGCGACACGGGCTACGTGGTCAAGGTGGTCTTCAATAAGCAGAGCGTATGGGATATCAACACTGCGGCGATGGTGTTATCTCCAACCTGCTCCTCTGAGTTCAAGGCTCCTGCTGCTGTTCCTCTTCCACCCCATCCGTTCTTCCCTTGTGCAGCAATGTTTTCCCACGCCCCCATACTATGGATCACGATCCTTGGCACGTCGGGCAGACACCTCATGACTTGCTGGGTAGGCCCCTATACGGCGATGCCGACGCTTGATCGGTGGGATGAATGGCTCACCGGCGATACGATTTCGGGTGCTAACTTGGGCGCGGGGCTCACAGTACAGACGTACGTGGACACAGGGCTATCCGATCATACGGACTCGCATGGCTGGGCACAAACCGGGCCCCAGTTCATCGACTCCACCGATCCCGTGTAATTTCTTGGGCACGGGGCTCCCGTCAGCGATGCAGACCCGCGTGTCGTTCACGGGACAGGCGGTCATCTGCGGATCGAGCCATTGTGATTCACCATCTGTGAAAGGACACTATCTGTCACACACACACATCTATCTATTGGCCTGCAGCCCATCCCGCCAGCGTGCCTGGGTTGTAGGTCAGAGGTCTCCCGGATGCCCATGAGGATCTCTTGGGAGGCCTCTCGGATGCCTCGTGGAGTCGTTTTTGGGGGTGTTTTGGGGCGTCTTCGGGGCTTCTCGGGGCCTCTCTTGGGCCCCTCGGGGCCTCTTGAGGGCCTCTTGGGGCATCTTGGGCGCACCTCGGGGGATTGTGGGGGGATCTTGGGGCCATCTCGAGGCGGAGGGCTCAAAATGTGAGTCCGTGTTCCCCATCTCGGGCCCCTCTTGGGGCTGTTTTGGGAACCTCTTGGGCCCCCCTCGGGGGCTCCTGGGCAGTTTCGGGGCGATCTTCGGCGCCTCTTGGGCCGTCCTGGACGCTCGGGAGACAGAGAAGGCGTGAATGCACAGTTCATAGATTTTGACGAATGTCGCCTCTTGGGCCATCATCCAGGGCCTCTAAGACGGCTCAGAGGCGGCCAATGCGGCTCCTGGACGGCCCGCGGGGCCATCCGAAACCATGCTGAACATGCATATCCCGAACAGCGCGCTCTTGGACCCTCGAGCAGTCACGCGGGGACCACCCGAGAGCGCCCCGGGAGCGCCTTGAACTCCTGGTTGTTGGTCCCTTAGACATCGAATTGCTGCAGAACTCGGCACAGGGATCTCGAAGAGACTTGCGGACGCTCCAACTCGTACCTCAGGGCACGGTGGCCGATGCACGCGCGCATGTTGACTGCGTTACGTGTGCGGTAGTGCAGCGACATCTGTCCAGGCCTTCTTTGCCGAACGATCCAGTGTGTCTTGGCCTCGGTGACTTGCCTTGGCCCTGCGGCTCCTGGCTGACTCCTCGTCCTTTTGCTTCTCACGGTCGGGAGTGTGGGAGGAGAGTGATGGGAGGGATGCCATGTGGGAAACGCCCTGGGAGGGGAGTGCTCGCCCGCAGTGAGGTGACTGCAGGAATCGCTCTCCCACCACGCATCAGTCCTTGAGTACCCTCCTCTCGAAATCCGACGCGGGCTTCCAAGGTTCGTGTCGACCACCTCCAGTTGACTTGCGAGGACGCGGACCCACAGGACCTACTCTCCTTCCCCCTCTCCCTGCCCCGCCTGTCTCTTCCCCATGAATATGCCCCTCTTTTGGGAGGATGACCCTCTCTTCTCTCTTCCCTCTGCCCCGCATGGCACAACGGCATCCGTCGCTGGGTCCACGTTGAATGCATCGATCGGGAGACCCTCGCTCGGGAGGAAGGATGATGGGTGAGGATGGTGATGATGATGATGATGATGATGCTGATGATGATGATGAGGATGATGAGGATGAGGATGACGATGACGATGACGATAAGGGAAGATAGTAACGGGGAACTAGAGCGGATAAGAGGGAGGGAGGATGAGGATTCGGGAATGAAGGTAGAAAGGATAATCTCTTCATTGCCGCCGAAGGGAAGCAGGCTTTCGTGGAGGGAGGTTCCTCATGGCTCTTTGCGGCAGGATGCTCGTTTGCCTCAATATGGTGGGAGTGTTTCATCGTTGTGGCCTAGCTTTTCTTCAGCAGTTTGCAGGATGTTGGCCTCTTTTCTAGCTCCCCCGCTCCCTTTCGCGTGCACTGGGGGCGTTGCGTGCGAGCCTGGCTGGCTCCTAGTTTACTCAAGAATGTGTAAGAAGGGATGGTACAATAATTCTTGGTTGGGCACGCATCTGCGAGCGTCTTCACCGTTGGCACCAGCAGTCTGCTACCTCAAGGCCGACGCCAACAGTTCATTCTCATCCCCCTCTTCGTCCGTTAGTGGCGCTGGGCCTCCCCTTCCTCCTCTTCCCACGCTTGCTGCTGCTTCTCCTGCTCCTTCTGCTGACACAAGTCCTCGGCCCTGCCCGCGTCCCGCTACCCCGCAAGACAGGTTCCTGACATCAATTGTGCTTGATGAGGGGAGTTGTCAATGTTCTGGGCGCTCTCTATCTGTGGAGAGCCCAACCCCAGAATCGGCCCCAAACCCGGAACCCAAACGGTCGAAAGGAGGAATCGACTTCGACCACGAACCCCGGAATTCGCCTCGAAACCAGGAATTCAGCTGAAACGCAAAACCATGGAAAGCATGATCTGGCATTCTTTTTCCGCTGAAGGATACTGGGGGACACGGAGATATTGCGGCACCATTCGGGCCGCAATCTTCGGGGGCCTCCGAAGACGAAAACGAAATAAAAGACTGCGTGCGTCGTGCCAGGTGGACGATCGTGGATGACATTTTTGTACTACATGACAACCCTCGCGGATCTCTCCGAGCTTTTCCGCGACCCTTCGAATCCACTATACTGTATACTTTTTTTCCGATCGGTCAGATCGGGCATTCCGGGGTTCTTGTCTCTTCTCCCTCTCTCCGCTCGCCCTCTGTACTCTCCCTCCGCTCGCCCCGCGGCGACGACGGCCGACGACGGACGACGACGAACGACAACGGCGCCGAAGTTTGCGCGGTCGCGTGCGCTCCCGCTCATCCAGGCGCTGCCACGTGGCGGGCAGGCGTGGATTCGTAGTTCTGTCGGCCTTGCAGCGTTGCCACGTGATGAGTCGAGTCACATAAAAGAATTGTTCCGCCGTTGTCGCTCCGCGCGCCCATCGGCCCGCACAGGCCTGCCCCAGAGTTGAGAGCTCTGCGTGTGTCAGTGCGGCCGATCCGCGCGGAAGATCTCAAGATTCTGGCAGCGAGTCGAATATCTATTATTGTCGCAACGCCGCGGAGAGGAACATATAGCGCGGAGGATTAGTCGCAACGCCGCGGAGAGGAACATATAGCATTCCACTCCCCTCTTCGAGACGCTGCCACGCGGCGAGTCGAGTGGAATGCTATATGTTCCTCTCCGCGGCGTTGCGACGCCCGTAGTCGAGTGGAATATGTTTTCGCTCCCACGGCGGTGCCACGTGGCGAGTGGAGTGGAGTGCTATTTTTGCGGTCTCAGGCGTTGCCACGTGGCGAGCAGGAGTGGATTTGTAGTTTTTTCTCCGCCCTCGGCGTTGCCACGTGACGAGCAAAGTAGAGCAGTTGTGTCGCGCTGCCCTCCGTGCGCTGCCGCGCGACGTGTCGAAGAGAGCCGTTTCTTCCGCTGTGGCGCTGCCGCTCCGCGCGCCCATCGGCCCGCGCAGGTCTGCCCTAGAATTGGGATGCGGGCGTTTTCAGAATCGGCGCATCGAGTGGAGCACCGCTTAGCCCGGCTCCCGAGAGGCGTGGCAGCACGGCGAGCGGAGCGGAGTGCGATCTGCTCCCCCTCCGCTGCGCAGCCACGCCCGGGGCGTCGCCACGCGGAGAGTCGAGGGGAGGTTTTCTGGTCCGCTGTCCCAGGCCGATGCCGCGCGACGGGCAGGATGGGGAGTCGTATTTTTGGCCATCCCTCGGCGTTGCCACGTATTGAGCAGAGCAGAGTGGGGAAGTTCAGCGGAAGGGGGGGTGTCGCGCGAGCCACCCGTCGCGATCCTGCAGGCTTCCGCCACGTCCGCCGGCCCCTGCGCACCGCTGCAGTGTGCCCTGAGATTTGCTCGGATTTGGGCGGGGCGGGCGCCACGCTGCACGTGCTGGTGAAGCAGTCCACGTTGCACGTGCTGGTGAAGCAGTGTCGTGCCTCCGGCCCATCCTCTTGGGGCCTCTGTGGGTCTCGTCGGGGCCTGCAGGGCGCTGGCCGGCGGCCTGAGGACCTTTTTTGCGGCGAAGGGTTCGGGCAGTTCGTTCGCGTGCCCTCCCCTTGGGGCCCTGCAGGACAATCTTGCGGCGACTGTGACCTCCTTGTGGGCCGTTGTGGACGCTGTGAAAGCCCAAGGGGGGGATTCTGCTAAACATGCGCGTTTTCCGACGGGAAGGGGGCGCTTGCTGCCATTTCGGCGAGAGCGAAGGTTCGGGTGTGCCGTGCCGTTTTTCCTGTTCCAGGGTGCCGTGAGATTGGCGCGATCCGTTCGTCTGGCGCACTACCAGAAGTACGGGCAGACGGAGTGTCAGTACTGGCAAGGTAAGATTTGGTGAACGCGGCAGTGAGCATAGTGGACGCTTGATACGGCACGTACAGATATCCGTCGACCGGGGACACCGCCGAAGTGCGTGGAGACTGTCGAAGCGTACTGCGGCACGGGATCTCCACGGAGGAACGCTCGGGAGGCTGCGTGAACCGTCGCTGGCGCACAGGAGAGAAGAACAAATATGTACAGTGCCCGTGAACGGGCGCGAGGAGGAAGGGGCGGCGTGAGGCCGACAGGGACGCGGCAGAGAACGCCGACCGCGCAGCAGCACCACCGAGGCGCCAACAGCACGGGTGTTGCGCAGCAGCTCCAGCGCTGACCAGCGGCCCCACCACAGAGCAGCACCCGGTCATAGCGAAAGCACCGACGCAGTGTGACAGCACCGGCGCTGGGCGGCAGCGCTGTATCTCCGACGCAGCGCTGCTGCGCCGACGCTACGGTGACCAGCAGCTCCACGCATTGCAGTGCCACGTAGCTTCTTCGGACGACATGTATGTACCGTGCTGCGTTGGCGTCTCCCGAGGCGTTGTCGACCTTTGACTCAGGAATGGTACCGTGCATAGTTTGTCGGCCCATAGAGCCAACCATTATGCACCGTACGGCTTTGGAGCGAGGCCTAAAGGGAGTTCAAACATGGAACGGTGCATAAACGCCTCTTTTCGGAGGGTGCTCGAAGGATTTTGTCAGATAGGCACTTGAGCGCTGCGAGCTAAGAATAAGTATGACCGGTGTTAGCTAGAACCAGTCATCTCGCAGCCCTCCAGGATTTATCTATTGACGTGTTTCCTATTTGGTCCATATCCACACTCGTGTCCTTTCAAACATTACAGGGAGAGATTACATTATAATGTATACTCTGCGGCACGAGGAGCCGCCACGAGACAACAGCAGCTGGCGCCGTTTGACAAAAGGACTGTTTGCTGTATTTGGTTTCGACATTGCATTTCAGTGAAGAGATTTGTGCAGACGCTGTCGCTTTCCGCCAGTGGTGAGAGAATATATAGACTTCGCTAGCGAAGAAGGCCACCCCGCGAGCCGCGCCGGATCCGAAGGCGCCCGCGGTTCCCGCGCTGCCGATCACGACGATCCTCCTCATTCTCGTCCTGCTTTTCCTTTCTCCCCCGCTATCTCTCCCGAGCGGCCGCCAGGATGAAAAGAACGAGTTCCAGGTTGGCCAGCTGGTCCGCCTGGATGGTCCGGGCCTTCCACAGAAGGAGGGGGATGATGATGCTGATGCTGCTGCTGATGATGATGGTGGTGGTGGTGATGATGATCTTGGTGTTGATGCGGATGATGATGCTGATGGTGATGATGATGGTGACGATCGTGATGACGATGATGATGATGAGGTGGAGGAGGAGAAGGGGTAAGGGAGGAGGAGGAGGAGCAGGTTCAGGGGGAATAGGATGAGGACAGGGAGGAAGAAGAGGAGGAGAAAGGGGAGGAGGGAAGAGGAGGAAAAGGAGCAGGAGGAGGAGGACCAGTGTAACCCAAGACGCATCAGCGATGTTCGAGTCGACCCTTCTGCAACGCTCCGTTTTCATAGCACCTTGCGAAGACTCATCTGCACTGGAGGCAGTGCCCCGTTGGGAGGCCGCCGGTTGAAGACCCTGAGACGTGCCAGAGCAGCTATATCGGGGTTTTAACGCCACGAATGGACCTGCTTGTTACGTTTTGACGATCCTGAGTTGCGTCAGAACACCGTTCCTGGGACGCCAACGCCGCGAATCAGCGTAATTGTTGCGCCCTGGCAATCCAGAGCTATTCTAAAACAGTATGTTGACCAAGGGAATACGTGAACCTCCTGCAAATATTTAAGACGCGTGTGCGCGGCGCTAAGGCGAGAGCCACCTATTGAAATTAACAGCCCTCAATCCGTGAAACACCCCACACATGTTTAAAACGAGTGTGCGCTGCGTTAGGGCGAGAGCAACATTTTCAGAACCACGCGCCCTCATCCGTCAAGTGGTTGACAAGTTTTAAGACGAGTGTGCGTGGCGTTGGGGCGAGAACCACATTTTTAAAACGACCCGCCCTCAATCCGTGAAGCTCCAGCAAATTTGAGAAGCGAATGCGCGCGGCGTTAAGGCGAGAGCCTCATTTTGAAAACGGCCCGCCCTCCATCTGTGAAGTTTTTGCCAATGTTTCAGTTTCAGGGTCATGAATGGTAAGGGAATATCCGGCGAAACTCCTGGCCCGCCCTTTCGACCGGCCTCGGGGTGCGACAGGGAGGAGTTGATCAGACAGAAAAGGAATGGAGGAGGCTGACGAGGAGGAGGAGGAGGAGAAGGAGGAGGAGGAGGAGGAGAAGGAGGAGCAAGATTTGTTAACGTTTTGGAATAATCCCGTCCTCCCAAGCTCCCTCTTCATACAGTTGGGGCGTTGACCTAAGGAACCCTAAATAAGGAACGAGGCCCCTTTTTTTCCATGGGTCAAACTTCGATTCCCCATCGAACACCTAAGGACAGCCTAAGGCAAACTGCGAAACAATTAAGGAACACGGGGCCCCTCCCCAACGAAAAGGGTTCCTTCTTCAGCGACCCGACTGTAGCCCCCTGCATGGGTTCATTTCCACTGAAGGAACTGCCTCGTTGGGAGACAGCCGTCTGAAGACCCTGAACAATGCCGAAGCACCATTCCTAAGACTCCAACGCCAAGGATCACCCTGATTGTTGCGTCTTGACGACCCTGAATCGTGCCAGAACGCCCTTCCCTGGACTTCGTAAGGTATCCCAGGTGTCTGCGGGCACATCGGACGATCAGAAACTCTCTTGGTGCAACCGTTGGCAGGCCAACTTCTCATTCGGAAGGCCTTGTGGCCGGTGCCGCCGACCCTGAGCGGGGATGACGACGACGACGACAGCGGCGGCGGCGACGACGACGCCGACGTTCCGGAGCCCTTCTTGGAGCCCTCTTGGGGGCCCCTTTGGGCTCTGCCGGGGGACTTCTTTGGGCTCTTGGGGGACTTCTTGGGAGGCTCTGTGGTCACTTGGAGCCGCTTCCGAGCGGATCTGGGGCCTCCTGGGGGCACATGGGAAAAGTCGCAGCTCCCCGCCACAGCAGATACGAGTGAGGAGGCCTCTTGGGGGGAGGGGGTTCAGGAGGAGGGGCGGGGGGGGGGGGGCGCCACTGTCAACAGGTGGGGGGGCGGGGGGAGGGGTCCTAACTTCCCTCTGTCCAAAGGGGGACGGCCCCCCTGTCCCCCTTGTCCGCACCGGGGGCCCCCCCGGGAAGGAGGGACCACGACCCCGGGGGACCCCTCCAGCGAACCCCTCCCGGCGGCCCCCCAGCGGGGCCGTCTTGGAGCTCTGTTGGGGCACTTGTGGCTTGTTTTCTGGTCCTCCTCCTCCTCCTCCTCCTCCTCCTCCTCCTCCTCCTCCTCCTCCTCCTCCTCCTCCTCCCCTCTGGGCTACGGGCGCTCCTCCTCCTCCTCCTCCTCCTCCTCCTCCTCCTCCTCCTCCACTTGTGGCTTGTTTTCTGGAGTGCGGTCCCCAGCAGCCCCCGCTACCAGTGGGAGGGAGAGGCGCCTCTGAGAAGCTCCATCAGACAGCCGATGTGGCATTCTGACCTGCACGCTCCGCGTGCCACAGTGCAGCGGCATCAGAGCCATCGTGCTGTGGTCCAACAGATCTAGCGTGCACGGCGTGCCCCCCGACCCTGGGGAGGGCCTGGAACACGGTGGGGGCCGATCGGACGGCCGAGGCCAAAACGACTCGCGCGCCCTCATCATCCGGATCGAGGCCAACTCCAGAGTTGTCGTCCTCGCCTCGGCACGGGCGGCGGGGGATGGGCGACAACGAGGCGGACGAGGAGGAGAAGGAGAGCGACGATGCTGTCAATGCGGATGATTGCTGATGAGGAGGAGTAGGGGACGGAGAGGGGTAATGGAGGATGAGTGCAAGGATGAACATGAACATGAGACTTTTGGGTTGTGGTAGTGGTGTGCAAACGGTAGTGAAGGGGAGGGATGGGGGAGGGAGAGGAGGTAAAGAGGAGCCAGCACAATATGTCCATCAAGCGCAAAACCAGGCAGTACTAACCTGTCCCAGGACTTCGCTTGAGCGGGGGGCCTACCCTTACTGCCACGGAAGGCCGTGTTGAACCACAGCCCGACTATTACACGAGCATGGCTTGCGCCTCTTGGATGTGGTCTGGCACGGCGGCGATAGAAGCCCGCCGGTGCTGGGGAGACCGCATATTCCGCGAGGGCGAGGCGACGACGGAGGGGGGAGGGGGCGCCAAAAAGCCAACTCAAACAGGACAATCAACCAAAACATAAGGAAAACCAATCAAATCGGACCCCCCAGTCAACACAAAGGGAAGCATTGAACAAAACCTTGTGTTTGTTCTTTTTGGGTTGAAAACCAATCGACACTTTGTTTGCTTGTTTTTTGTCGCATGGATGCTCTGATAATACTGTTTTTCGTTGTGTTTTGTTGATTTGTTTTTGTGTTGTTGGTTTCTGGCTCTCCGCGTCCAGCCGGAGCATCTCCCTGGGGGGGGAGGAAGCGGAGGCGACGCTGGGGGGGGGCGGGCGATCATGCGCGAGAGTTGTTTTCCAGTCGGAACCCATTGTGAGCTGACGCCACGGCCGCACGCCTTTGAGTGAGCTTTCTCTGGTGAGCGTCAAAGGAGGAAATTGCGCATCATCCATGTACTTTCAGCTTTGCACTAGCGAGCCCAAAACGTGCAAACATATACGAATGCATGTTCATCCCGTCGGAACCCTTTGGGAATTGACACCACGACCAAACGCCCCTGAGGGGGTCTTTCTCGGGAGCCTGAACGAGGGGAAATCGTATGCATGTTCCCTCAATTCCGGCTTCGTCTCAACACGCCAGACGCTCAAGCATGAGGGGATTCATTGCCTCCCCGTCTGCACAACTTGAGAATTGACACCACGACCATTTTTTTTTTTGAGCGGGTGCCTGGTCAGCTTGAAAGGGGGGCTGCATGTGCATTTTCCTTACTTTTCGGCTTCGTCTCAACTGGCCCAAACTGACTGTGGGCGCCCGACTCTGAGGTGGCTGCACGGTGTCCCCGCACGTGCCTCGCAAGCGGCCCCGCAGTGCACTCCCCTGTGTCCCACTAGTGGCGCCACAGTGCTCTCAGTGCACTAGTGCCCCCACTAGTGCCCCCACTAGTGCCCCCACAGTGCACTCACTTGTGTCCCACTAGTGCCCCCGCAGTGCTCTCAGTCGTGCCTCCACAGGTGGCCCCACCGTGGCCCCACGTGTGCCCCCCACTGGTGGCCCCAGCGTGTTCTCGCTGTGTCAGCCGTCGTGGTGGTCGACGTCGCTGTCGTCATCGTCGTCGTCGTCATCGCCGGTCGGGATGAGCCGACGTCGGGAGCAAAGCGCAGGACGAGAGTCAGCGACGTGAGGAGCGGTGGCGGAAGCTGGCCCCCGAGCGCGAAAATTGCCAAACGTTTTGTCCTTGCTGTTGCGAGACGCTTTTATCAGTTACATTCTGACGCTTTGTGAGGTTTCCTTGCCGATTGCGATGGAGATGTGGATCCAGTTGTCGATGTAATTTCAATGTTTTAATGCGCTTGTAAATCTACATTTGCATGTAAATTTAACTGTGCGCACCATGCGTTTCGCCGTCGATCGCGATGGACAATCAGTTTCGGTTTGCTTTGAACAATCAGTTGACACATGTAACTTCAAATGCGAATTCCAACTTAAGTTCGTATTCGAATCTAGTATTAAATTCAAAATTGAATGTAGGTGTAAAAATCGGGTGAACTTAAAAATCGACATGTCAATCCACACTTCCACTTACATTCAGAGCTCCACCTCTCTGCATCGTAAAGTTTCCCGGTCGATTGCGATGCTTGCGCGCACGGTGCCAGAGACGGATTGGCCGAGCCGATGAGTGTGTCCGCCGTCTTTGCCATGATCAAAAAGCGGAAGCACATGAGTGAAGTGGTTGTGTGGTTATGTATTCGTGGAACGATCGGCTTTGTGGTTTCGTGTTTTGAGCGCTTTGGGTAGGCGCTGGGGGTGGTTCGAGCTATATGTCTACCTGTATGTACGTATGAATGCATGCATGCATGCATGTATATATATATATATATATATATATAGATAATTTTGGACGCCCACCCCCCCAGCGACCCCCCAACGTGTTCAACACACAAAGCCGCACAATCGGTTGTTTCACGAAGCTGTGCCACAGTCGCTTCGCAAACGTCATTTGGCTTTCGCACAATCGACCCATTAGCCTGTAATCCTCGCGGGCGAACGGCTTGTCACAGTCATCCATTTCAGGATTATGTTTGTTTCAAGGGATCGGTACGACGGATTTCTGAATGAGGCACCATTACTAGAAGCTTCTTGCTATATTTGGTCCTCACTAAGTACCCTTTACTTGAGGAACCCTTGCGAAGGAGCCCATACTGAAGGCATCCTGGCGGAGGAGTCCTTACTGAAGAGGCTCTTACTACAGGAATAGGGGTACTAAGGGCTTCTCACTGGAGGAGCAAGCCCTCAGTGACACGAAACGCTGTGGATGTTTTTGTCTATGGTGTAGCTGTTGCTGTTGTTGTGGTTGTTGTGGTTGTTGTTGTTGTAGTTGTTGATGTTGTGTTGGTCTGGGGTCTGGGAAGCACCGAAGCGCTGCGCATTTTTTCCGCTCTGGAAGATCGAGTGTTTACCGCGGCTGCCTTCCAGCTCCCCGCCCTGAGCTTCTAGGACCATTACCAGTTTGAAACATATCCCTATCCCTATGTTTGACATCACCTCAACTCGATGCCGATCTTCAGGATTCCCTCAGTTTCTGAGGGCCTATCCCTAAGATTGTCCTCGCTTTTTGCTCGCCCATCTTAGGGATAGGGATACGTTCGAGGCTGGTTAGACCAGAACGGCAAAGTATGTACAGTGTCTGCACTACCACTTGCTACCACTGCGAACCAGCCCTACGCGGGCGGACCACTACCACTACCACTGCTACCACTGCGAACCACTGCGACCACTGCGAGGGCGAGGGGGCGGGCGGTGCGCTCCGACGCGCCTCGCGGGCGGCCCGGCCCCTCCTGCGATGCCCTGCGGGGGAGGGCAGCAGCCGAGCGCGGTCGCCCGGCCCGCTCGCCATCGCTCGGACGCCCATGCCCTGTGCAGGGCTGGGCTTCCTTGTGTTTGCAGTGTCTTGCGCCATCTGCGCTCTCACCTGCTGGGTCGGCGTGTTTTTTTTTGGGGGGACTTCTTGGGGCAGCAGCGGAGCGATTTGGGTGCGTCTGCGGTCCAGGCTCCGCGCGGCCCGCTTCGCTTCGACCGGAAGAGGTGCGCTCTCGACCCGCGGATCAAAAAGTAGGTCTGCGGTCTTTAGGTGCTCTGGTGCTGGAGGCACTGGTGCTCACGCGCCCCCCCCCCCCAGCACCCTCCTCTGGAGTTTCCAGGACCAGAGCAACCAGACCTGCACGTGGCCGGCGCCCTCGGTGCCACGAAGCGTTGTGGGTATGCTTGGTTCGTGTGATCGCCTCGGCCTGGGAAGCAGCGCAGCACGGTGCATGTTAGTTTTTTTTTGTTGTTGTTTTTTGTTTAGGAGGCCCCAGTGGCTCCTAGCACCCCTTTTCCGAGCTTCCAGGGCGGGAAAAAACAAACATACACAGTGTGTCGCTGCTTCCCAAACCGCGAAAAGCAACACACATGGATAGTGCTTCGCTGCTTCCCAGGCGCCAAGGCAAGAGCGCCATACACTGTGTATGTGCGGTCCTTTTGCGTCTGGAAGCTCAGAGAAAGGGGTGCATGGGGGAGGCCGCGGTAAGCACCTGAGCTTCCCAAACCCAAGGAAACAGCACCGCACTTCGCTGCTGCCCAGCCCCCAAGGTGAAAGCACCCATGCATATGCAGCGTTTCGTGCCACCGCGGGCCTGCCCCTTCAGTGAGGAGCCCTTCGTACTCCGCATTCTGTATTAAGGGTTCCTTTAGCAAGGACTCGTTCGCCAGATGTCTTTAGTATGGAATATGTCGTTCGCACTCCTCTAGTTCGGAAGACTGAGTCCGGTCGAATTTTGGTGATGCGCTTCTAGTAGTGAGGCCTTTAGTAAGGGGTCCTTCGTAACAATCCCTTGAAAAAACAATCCCTGTAGCAAGTGGTTCGTCAACCAGGATCACATGCAAAGGAATTTGCTGTGCAAAAATCGAAGCATATAAGCGATGCGATTGTGCAGCTTTGTGAAGCGATCGATTCTGCGCCCAAGATGCCCCCAAGAGCCCTCCCAAAAGAGCTCCAAGAGGCACGCATCGATCCATTCCCCTTGCAAAACATGCGTTTTTAGCATCTGCGGCTTCTCGGCCCTCAGAGCGCCCAAGACGGCCAAGGAGGCCTCCCAGATCATCCCAAAGACGGCCCAAGAGGCCCCCAAGAGAACCCCGGGACGCCCAAAGACGGCCCCAAGACGGCCCACGAGGCGCCCAAGACGGCCGAAGAGGGCCCTCAGAGGGCCCTCAGAAAGGTCCAAGGGGGGGGATATTTCGAATTGAGATTTCGAGCCCCAAAGGTGCCCCCGAGGCCGCCAGCAGGCCCCCCAGAGGCCCCAAGGGGCCTCCGGAGAGGCCCCAGTAGCTCTGACCTCCCAACTAGCAAACGACCGCGCGCCATAGCCGTTCCAACCTGATCCTATACCGAACCGAGGAACCAATTAGAATGGCGACGATCAGGAAGTCAGTATAGATGTGTGTACATGTGCATATGGAAATCGATCCCTTCATAGACGAACGCCGTGAGCGGCTGGCCGAAACTCGTGTTGCTTTTCTTTGACCCAGCCGGGCGTGGTTGGCTTTGCCTGTCTTGCTTGGGTACAGACCTTGTTGTTTCTCTTGGCAGTACTGGGTTTGCTCGCCATGCCATTCCCAGTGTTCTCCATTACGGTTGCACGCCTGAGCTTCACAGTTGTGGTTGCTACCGATGCACAGTGTGATGATCTGACCTTCAGTGCCATAGGAGAAGTTCTTGGTATTTCGTCAGATTTTTCACCCAACCAGCTTGGAGAGGCCCCAGCCCAAGCGGGGAACTGTTAGATTGCGGCAGCTGGGCTGCTCCACTGAGGTGCTGGCTACAAACAACAAGACCTACATCCATACCTTCGACCAGATCCAGCCAGTCTCGCTGCCATCGCAGAGGACATACCAGAACAACCTCTGGACCCGTGGGCGTGGGACGCGCTGTGCACCCGGGCAGTGACGCCGGCGGTTTCCTTGGGCGCCGCGTAATGGGGGGGTCATACATGGGGGGGCGGCGAGCGTGGTCCGAACAGGTACCCAAACGGTACCTAAACGAGCCCCCTGGGGCTCTGGAGGGGCCCGAAAGGGGCACGAAAGGGGACCTTTTCTGACCCCCCATTTGTGACCCCCCCATTAAGCCACGCCCAGTTTCCTCGGACGGCGGAAGACAGCGCGGGCGCGCACGTCGGGGAGCAGTGGCAGGATCTGAGGAGGAGAGGTCTGGTGCTGCCGGAGGTGGCCCTGGCCAAGGGTGGCCCCCGTTGCCATCGCCACGTCGGAGCCCCTGGGGCCTTCCGCGCGTGGCGAGGCACGCTCTGGAGGACATCTGGGCCCCCCCAGGAGAGCTCGGGCCACTTTGCGCCGGTGCCAGCTCAGGCAACCTCCGAAGGAGACCGAGGATAATTCGGACAAGATGGAGGAAGAGGCGGAGGAGGAGGAGGAGGAGGATGAGGAGGAGGAGGAGGAGGATGAGGAGTTTGAGGTGGAGGAGGAGGCGGAGGAGGAGGAGGAGGAGGAGGAGGAGAAGGAGGAGGAGGAGGAGGAGGAGGAGAAGCAGAGGGAGGAAGAGGAGCACGAGGAGGATGAGGAGGAAGAGGAGGAGAAGATGGGGGGGAGGGGGAGGAGGAGGAGGAAGAGGAGGAGGAAGCTGAAAGGAGGAGGAGGAGGAGCCCCGCCTCACGCGGCCTGCAGTCTCAATTGCTCCAGCACGGGAGGCGCCGAGAGGCTGGCTGGTCACCAGCCGCCCCGGCGGAGGTGCCCTTTGTTTGTCGACCCGCTGTCGGGAGATTTGGAGGAAGAAGGGTTCGATTGCCCATCACCTTTCCCTCAAGCTGCTGCTTAACCTCCTCACCCTCCTCCTCCTTTTCCTCCTCCTCCTCCTCCTCCTCCTCCTCCTCCTCCTCCTCCTCCTCCTCCTCCTCCTCCTCCTCCTCCCCCTCAATCCATTGTCCTGCTCATTTTTCTACGCGTTGGACATGCTATTTCCTGTGTATCAACGCATTGCTCTTGCCGAGAGAACAATGTTTTGAGAAGCAGACAAGAGCAAGCGTTGAGCAGGAGCAACAAGAGTCTCTCCGCTCCTGTTCATACTAGTACTCACATTCCTCGTCCTGCTCCTCTGTATGTGCATCCTCATCACCTTCCTCAGCATCCTCATACTTCCCCATCTTCTCCTCTTCACTCTGATGATCATATTATCATTCCCTTTCCTCAGTTCCTCTTTTTGTTGTCCTTTCATCTGGGCTCCTTGTCATGCTCCTGTTATGAGCTTTGTTGTCACGATCTTTATGTTGCTTGCTCATATTCCTCCTTGTGTTCTTCCTCTTCCTGTTCCTCTTCATCGAAGCGCTTCTAGCCAGTGTCCGTCTGAGAACGGACGCTTCTCAATATTGATATTTGTTTATCATCCTTTTCATCCTATTCATCCCTCTGCCTCGTCGTCTCCCTCTTTCTCTTCATCCTCGTTATCCTCGTCGTCTTCGTCTTCATCCCCCCCTCATCTTTCCAGAGTTGGTGATCTGACAGTTGATCTGGCCCATCGAATGTTCGAGTAGTTCGGCCACGGACAAGCAGAGCAAACGTAGACTCTTGGACAGGAAGGGACATACTGAGTTCGAGGAGGACACACGTCTTCTCCTCGACCTAAGACGGCCCAGGACCTTGGACAGGAAGCAGCAGAAGATCAAGCCTGGCTGCGTGGTGAAGGCGCCTCAGGCGAGACCCTCTTGACTCCGACCGCGCCACCACGCTTTCTCGTGGCCGCGTCCGGGCGTGCAAGGCTGCGAGGTAAGGAGATGGATGATGGTGAAGATGATGCTGATGCTGATGATGACTGATGCAGATGATGATGAGGTGATGATGATGATGATGATGATGATGATGATGATGATGATGATGATGATGATGATGATGATTATGCTGATGATGATGATGATGATGATGATGATGATGATGATGATGATGATGATGAGGATGAGGATGAGGATGAGGATGAGGATGAGGATGAGGATGAGGATAAGGACGACGATGATAATGATGATGAGGACGATGACGAGGATGATGATCATGTTGCTGGGGATGATGATGGCGATGATGATGAGGATGAGATGAGGATGTTGATGATAATGAGGATGATGATGATGATGATGATGATGAGGAGGAGGAGGAGGAGGAGGAGGAGGAGGAGGAATAGGAGGAGGAGGAGAAGCACCATGAGGAGGATTTATTCTCTCGCTTCAGGGAGCAGCAATTTGTATAAAAGCGGAGGTGTCAGGAACTGGCCCAGGCTTGGCGTTCCTCTGCAGTCTGGAACGTATGCCAAAACTCGCCGGCGAGCTAAACAGAAGCTGTGCGCGTACTTGTACCGCCCCCTCGCACCAGAAGTCCAAGAGAGACGTTCATTCAGATGCAGGAGGTAGAGGGGGCAGCATTTTGTCAGGACGATGAGGAGTACCAGGAGGAGGAGGAGGTGGAGGAGGAGGAGGAGGAGGAGAAGGCACTCCACGTGGGGATTCTAAACGGGGTTCTAGTGATGTCGATGTGATTCTTAGGGGGAAGCAAGATGATGCGGACGTGGACGGCGAAAACCACGACGAAATAAAGATGTGAGTACAATGGGGCAGCTTTGATCCATGGCTGCGTGTCTATAGCCAATCTGGCCGCGCAGTGCCATGGGGCAACGCCGCATGGACCTTTTGTGCACCGAGTGCCTGCCTGCCTGCCTGCGACTCCTCGGCAGAGAGTCCTGTGGCCCTCGGACGGGCCATCCTTTCTGGGCGAAACGGGAGAGGGTGTGGAGGAGGGGGTGTGCGAGAGCGAGCAGGAGCAGGAGCTGTTGTTACCAGATGCGGCCGCGGCGACGTCAATCGACCACCTCCCCGGCCTTCGCCAGGCCACATCCTGGGCCCGGGATCGGAATGGCCGGGATCGGTAACGAGGGTCAATTGACGTCGCCCGATGAGGCGGACACGACAGATACTCGGAGAAGACCGACTGCACACATATCTATCTTGCTTCTCCCCCGCCCCTCTGCCGGAAAAGGATGACAAAACAGTCAAAGGAGGAGGGGGAGAAAGGAGAGGAGGTGGGCCTACATACGGTCAGGACTCGGGCTCAGCGTGTTGCGGAGCTGGTTCGGACCCAGCACGCTTCGGCACGATCTGCTAACCGCTTGCCAGTCCCCAAGAATCAGCGCCCCGAGCCTTTCCCGAGCCTCCGCCACGCGGAGCGGAGCGTCGCACTGTCAGCTCGCGGGGGACAGCGCGTCGCCGGGGCAGCCGCCGCGATGCTCGAAGAAAAAGTTAAGGACCGTATCTGCTCGATTTTTAGATTTTTACCACCCATCAAACCACCCAAACACAAGCCGAAGGCCCCAGTTTGCCATCCGTTCCCGGGGCGGGGGGGGGGTCGGGCGAAGCCCGTACCTCCCCCCCAATCCCGAAATTCAGGTCTTCGGGTTGGGCTGGGGTGGCCCGGTTGGTAGTCAGATGCGCAGCTCGGCCACACCACAGCACGGAGGCTGCAGGGCGCTTGCGCGCGGGCGCCTCTGTGCGCGCGAGCGCACGGGCGGGAGCACGAGGCACGCGAGGCGCCCGAGCACGCGGGCACGCGGGCGTTTTTTTGTTGCTCGCAGCGGTGCGGGTCGCACCGCGCTCGGGCCAGAGCTGGCCGTTCGGGCCGGCAAGTGGTGCGCCTGCGCGGTGGGAGAGGAAGAGAACGGCCGCGGAGGAGGAGAGGAGGAGGAGGAGGAGAATGGAGAAAGGCGAATGGAGAAAGGAGCAGGAGGAGGAGGAGGAGGAGGAGGAGGAGGAGGAGGAGGAGGAGGCAGGAGGCAGGAGGCAGGAGGGAGGAGGAGGAGGATTTTTTTTTAGGGTCAACCCAAGAACAGCCACATGACTCCGCTGGCGTGGCGAGTGCCAGCGAGAAAAAGACGGACGCGCCACGGTCGGGGCCGTGCCCCCGTGGCGCGACCGGAGCGCGACCAGGGAGCGCAGGAGACCGTGCTCCGCGCTCCCTGGTCGGGGTAGGGGGCGCAGGAGCACGTGCTCCGCGCCAACCCTACCCACCACCCACTCCATGGGTGGCCGCGTATCGGACCCCGGGACCCCGACACGACACGACACGACACGACAGGGGGACGAAACGAACGACGCGACACGAACGACACGACACGAACGAGCGACACGACAGGGACGGGCCGCCGACCCCGCCCCAGGGCGGCAAGTGCCGGGGGGGAACCCAGCACCGCCCTGGGGAAGCACACGGGGCCTGGCGACCCCCCCGGGGGAAGGAAACCGCGCTTTGGCGGCGTCCCCCGGGGTGCGGGGGCTTTTCACCCCTCGGGCCCGGCGCTCCCCGCCTGCGCCAGGGGGACCCTAGGGTCCCGACCCCTCCCCTACGGGAGGGGCCCCCTCGGGGCGGGAGGAGGAGGAGGAGGAGGAGGAGGAGGAGGAGGAGGAGGAGGAGGAGGAGGAGAAGGAGGAGGAGGAGGAGGAGGCAGGAGGAGGCGGAGGGGGAGGAGGAGTCGGGGGCGGACAGACCTCCTACCCTAGCACGTCGATTGAGGAATTGGCCGTTTTCGGTTCGCGAGAGGGCGTCGCGGCCGTCACTTTTGCGGGTCCAGGCCCGTCGATTTCGGCCGTGGGTCGTTTTCACGAAGGGGAGGTTTACTGAAGGGAGGTTTGTCCACCGCCGACTCTTCGCGACCTGGGCCCCGAGCTCTCGACCCCTCTGGCAGCTGTCCCGTCGCGGGTCGCTTCTCCAACGCCTCCCAGGTGCCCGAAGATACGAAGGAAGCACCCCTGTGGATGCTTGTTCGCGACGGCTGGAGTCCGGGGAGGAAGAAGTTTTGCTCTCGCCCCAGACCCTGGAGGGCCCGATGTGTAGGCTCGCAACAGGCCTCGGAAGAAGTCAGCGAACACATGCCACAGTCATGTGTCAATGCCCCCCCCAATGATCAACGTTGGCGGTGGGTTGGATGAGCTGCACTTCGACCGCAGTCTTCCCCGCGCGTGCTAACTGTGAGTTTGGGGGGCGGGGGAGTGTACACTAATTGTTTCCCTCTACCGAAGGGGCTGAACACGTCCAATACCCTTCCCGCCATGTTTGTTTAGACCTCGGCAAGCTTGCTTGCAAGGACTGTGTGTGGGGTCCCCGCGAGTCCAGTAGTGAAACGCCAGACAGCGCTCTTCGCTGACGGCGTGCTGTTTGGGCCTCCGGCACTCCACAGGCAGGGCCTCATGCGGCGATTTGCCAGAGCAGCGCTTGCGCATGACATGCCCCACCTGGTTTCCAAAGAACCAGCACCGTGGATCGCAGTCGGCCGCCTGTCCAGCCTTGTGGTGGGTGTACTCTCGGGAGCCCGCCACTCGGACCCCGTACAGGGTGGCGTGCGCTGTACCCGCGGGAGGCGCTACCCACCACGTGTCCGCCTCGGAGGAGCTTACCACTTGTATGCTCCTCCGCCCTCCATCTGTGTAGTGGTGGCAAGCAGGGTGGTCCAGGCGATTTGTGCCCTATGGCAGGTGACCCGTGGTTGGGGCCCCATGGTTCGTGCGCTGCTGTGCCTCGCGCGTCGCAGTCGGCCAACTGGCGCGCGCGAGTGTGCCCCATGGCCGGGTGTCGCACGGTGCCACGGGTTCGCGTAGGGGATTAGCTGCAGCATTCATCTACTCCAGAATTACTCCAGATTTCGTAATAAAATGGATGGGGGTCTCAACCCTCCCAGACGAGAAGTTTTAGACCCTCCCAGACCATCCATGAAAGGGCGGCCCTTTGCCCAGACCCCCCCGAACCCTCCAAGACAGCTCAAATCAGACCCCCCCCCAAATGTGACCCCCCCCCGACTTTATTATGGAATCCGGCGTAGGCTTTCTCGCATAATCTTCGAAAAACAAATAGACTGCCCCGTAGATCTACGTGGCAATCGACCCGCACTTTTCGTAGCAGGTCTAAGCAGCTAATTTTCGGGGGCAAATCAATTTTTGTAGTCGATCTCCTACCCGACGGATGTCCCAGGCAGCCGCTGGTGCGCTTGGTGCCCGGTGGCTGGCCGTCGCTCTGGCCCTGGCACGGGGCACGCTTCTGGCTCCAGTCCTCTCCGCGCCTTTTGCGTTCCCCGTCCTTGCCCTTCCTCCGCCTCCTCCGGCTGGCACCTCAAAGGACGGGCCAAGTCTTGCGACAGCCATTCAGGAATCAGTGGCTTCAGGGTAATCCCGCTCGGCGGATGCAAGAGGAGTCAACGCAACATCGGGGGGTGGGTGGGAAGAATCGGATGTCAGATGTGGCAAGAGCGCGCCTGGCTTGCCCCACCCGCCCTCCCCCTGTCCTTTGCCAAGTCTCTCTCTCTCTCTCTCTCTATCGGGAGCATCTGTGGGTTTGCCTGTTTCATTTATACTTTCAGCTCTGTCAATGTATCTACGCCCTTTCACTTCTTCCCACTCCAGTCTGACTCTACGCTCGATCCCTCCCGCCAGGCCGGAATCAAAGGCGAGCCGATCAGCGCAAAGGCCCTACGCATGCCAGGGCGAGAGGGAAAGAGGGAACGGACGGGATCTTGGGGGGTCGAAACAGGACTGTGAGAGGGAGGAGGTGGAGGCGGAGAAGGAGCAGAGGCACGAGGACGAGGAGGAAGACCCCCCCTGGCCTCCACGAGCACCCTGGACCAGCTCCCCTCCGGCTGGCTGGCAGTCGCGCCGAGCTCCTTCACTGGCTCCTCGAGGGCGGGCTGCGGACCCGGCGAGCTCGCCGCCCTTCTTGGCCACCTCCTCGGCGACGGGGCGGCCGCAGGGCAGCCGCCCCGGGAGCGCTGGGCAGGGCTGCGGCGTGCCGCCTCCGCCTCCGCCTCGCCCCCCGCGTCCACGGGGAAGGAGGAGGAGGAGGAGGAGGAGGAGGAGGAGGAGGAGGAGGAGGAGGGAGGAGGAGGAGGAGGAGGAGGAGGAGGAGGAGGAGGAGGAGGAGGGCGGAGGAGGAGGAGGAGGCGGAGGAGGAGGAGGAGGAGGAGGAGGAGGAGGAGGAGGAGGAGCCCTGCCCGTGCTCCCTGGCCGCGCCCCCGCACTGCGCACCGCTTGGCCTCCCGGGCGGCATTGCGGCAGGCCGCCCGCCCCGCCCGCGCCCGAGGCCGCGGCGAGCCCGAGCGGCTGCGCGCGGCGCCCGCGCGCCGCACCCCCGCCGCCGCCGAGCCCTTCTCCCTTCGACTAGACGTAAGAGTGACCTTTCGCCGGAGTGACCTTTGATGCGGGCACGGATGGGTACCCAGATGGCTGCAAACGAAGCAGTAGCAGCTGCTTGCGCACCCAGGTTTGGCCCCCCCCGCGGCCCCCAAAAAGTCGCGCACCAAAGGTCACTCTTACCCAGGGTCACTCTTGCGTATAGCCGATCCCTGCCCGCGTGCGTGCGCTTGCCAGGGCGCGTCGCCCCCGCCTCCTCGCCCAGGGAGCCCGCGCTCGACCCGCCGCCGCTGCCACACCGCCGCCGCTGGGCGTGCTGGCCGCCCGCGCGATGGCTTCCGCGGGGAGAGCTTCGTGCGCGAGTTGCGGCACGCGGCCCCGAAGGGCCGGCTCCACGTCGCCGCCCACGCCTGCCCCGAGCTTCGCCCCAGCTTCGGCGCTGCCCGCGCCGTCAGTCGCCATCGCCCGCGTCAGGCGGGGCCGCCGCTGGCCACCGAGCCGCTCTCTGCCGCGGCGCCAGCGTGGTGTCAGCGTCCGGCTGGAGCCAGAGTGGCTGCAGTTGCTGATGACGACGGCGATGACGACTGTGAAGAGGGTGACGGGTCGATGATGACGACGATGACGATGACGATGATGATGACGATGATGATGAGGATGAGATTATGATTATGATTATGATGATGGTGGTGATGATGATGGTGGTGATGATGCTGATTATGATGATTAGTACGCTGAGTATGAAGAGTATGAGGATGAGGACGAGGATGATGATGATGATGATGATGATGATGAGGATGATGATGGTGATGATGATGGAGATGACGACGATGATGAGAACGATGATGACGACGATGATGATGATGATGATGATGATGATGATGATGATGATGATGATGATGATGGTGATGGTGATGGAGATAGTGATGGTCACGGTGATGCAGATGACGACGATGATGGCAACGACGATTGCCACCACAACGATGCTGCTTATGGTGATGGTGATGCAGATGATGACGACGATGACGATGACGATGAGTTCACACTGGCAATGGCGACGGTTGTGATAATGTTGTTGCCGTTGGCAGTGATGATGCTACTCATGACGACGACGATGATGATGATGATTATATGATGATTCTGGTGGTGGTGATGATGGTTGTGATGGTGATTATGATGGTGGCGATGGGGCTTATGCTGCTAATGATGATGATGATGATGATGATGATGATGATGATGATGATGATGACGATGATGATGATGATGATGATGGTGATGATGATGAGGATGCGGATTGTGAGATTTGTGATGACGATCATGATCATTCAGAGTATGCTGGTGGTGGTGATAATGATGACGAGGATGCTGAGGAGGATGACGGTGATGGTGATGGTGGTGATGTTGATGATGATTATGATGCTGGTGCCGATGACGACCGTGATGATCAAGCTGACGATGACGATGACGACGGCGACACGACGACGACGATGACGACGACAAGGATGATGATGATGACGATGATGATGATGATGATGATGATGATGATGATGATGATGATGATGAGGATCACCCCGATCCTGATGATAGTGGCGATGATGATGACGAAAATGCTTATGATGATGATGATGATGATGATGATGGTGATGATGATGATGATGATGATGATGATGTCGACAACGACGACGACGATGCTGATGATGCTGATGATGATGATGTCGATGATGATGCTGCTGCTGATGGCGATGTTGATGCTGGTGTTGCTGTTGTTGTTGTTGTTGCTGTTGTTGTTGTTGTTAGTGTTGTTGTTTTTGTTTGTGTTCTCGTTGCGGTTGATGTTGTTGTCGTGTTGTTGTTGGTGGTGGTGGCGTTGATGTTGTTGAGTCCCCACTGAAGGGTAATTCTTGATCCCCCCTCCTGGGCACGTGGTGTTCTTCACTCAACAGTATTCTGCTGGGGCTCGCATCCGTTTTTGTTTACAAGTGAAGCTGGGGGTCACCAAACGGGGCCCCTGGCCTCCGAGTTACAACAGCCACGGCCCCCGCCTGAGATTTCCTCACACTTGATTCCCAGCTCGCGCTCTCGCGCATGAGTCCCCCCACCAAGTATACAGGAATCGCGCTCTCGCGCGGGACTTCCTCGCCATGTATTCGGACGCCGCGCCCTCGACACTCAGGACTTGCGCGCGCTGCCCTGCAGCATGCATATGACTGCGGCCACGGCGCCCTGCTCCTGCTCGGTGGCCTCGAGCTCTTTCTGCGACGCAGCGTGGGCGACCACGCGCGTCTCGACGTCCGCCCTCTTCGCCGCCATCCGCTTGTCGAGCCTGCCCAGCTTGCTGTCGATGGCCCGCAGCTGCCCGCTGGGCGGCCCCGCGGCGCGGGGCGCCTCCGCGAGGGCTGCCACCTCCTCCTGTGCTGCTCGATGAGGTCGTGCAGCGCCTCGCCCGCGGTGCTGAGCGCCTCCATCTGGGCGCCTGAGGGGCCCCAGCTCGTCCAGCCTGCTGCAGGCTGGACGGCTGCAGGCTGCCTGCACTCGTCCTCCGCCGCTTCCAGGTTCGCGGCGCTGCCCCTCGGGACGCCGCCCGGCTCCTCCGACGCGGCCCTTTGGGGGCCCGAGCGCCGCCGCCCCTTGCTCCGCACTGGCGCCCCTCGACCTCCTTCCTGGCCTCGGCGCCGCCGCCACCGCCGCAGGCCGCCGTCCTGCCCGATGGGCCGCTGTGGCGGCCGTCCAGGGTGCCGTTCCGCCCTCCGCCAGCCGTTCCTTGGAACTCGTCCGCACCGCCAGCAGCTGCAGGGAACGCTGGCGATCGCGGCCGCGCACCGCGGTTGCGCTGGTCTCAGCGCGAGAGTTCGCGCGAGCCTTGCCAGCGCGCTCAAATCCTTCGAGCCAACGCGATGATGATGCTGCTGCTGCTGATGATGATGATGATGATGATGATGATGATGAGGACGCGGATGAGGATTAGGATGAGGATAATGATGATGAGGGTGATGATGCTGATGATGATGATGATGATGATGATGATGAGGATGATGATGATGCTGAGTATGATGCTGATAATGGTGCTGATGATGGTGACGATAATGATGATGAGGATGATATGATGATGCTGCTGATGTAGCTGATGATGATGCCGATGGTGATGATGCTGATGATGATGCTGATGCTGATGCTGATGCTGATGATGACGTTGTTGATGATGCAGATGGTGATACCGATGATGCTGCATATGATGATCATGATGATGAGGGTGGTGATGATGATGATGCAGATGATGATGGTACGGTGATGATGATGCTGATGCTGAGGCTGCTGGTGATGATGATGATGATGCAGATGGTGGTGTTGTTGGTGTTGATGATGCTCATGCTGATGATGGCGACGGTACTGATGATGACGATGATGATGATGATGATGTTGGTGATGACGACGGCGGTGATGATGATGATGATGATGATGATGATGATGATGATGATGAGGCTGCTTCTTCTGTCGCTGATGATTATGACAATGATGATCACGATGCCGATGACGATGATGATGGTGCTGATGATGCTGATTATGCTGAGAATGATTGCGGCAATGATCATGTTGATCATGATGATATTTATGCTGATGATGCTGATCATGTTGAGGATGATGATGCTGATGATGATGAACATGATGATGTTGATTATCACTATGATGCTGATAATGATGATACTGTTTATGACGCTGTCAATGCCGATGATGATGCTGATGCTGACGCTGATGTTGATGCTGCTGATGGTGGTGATGACGCTGATGATTATGGTGATGGTGAGGGTGCGGATGTTGCCGCTGCTGATGATGAAGATAAGGAGGATGAGGATGAGGATGAGGACGATGATGAGGATGAGGATGGGGCTTAGGATGAGAATGACGATTACGACGACGACACTTATGATGGTGATGATGCTGCTGATGATGATGATGATGATAACGATGATGCTGATGATGCTGATGCTTATGACGATGATGATACTTATGATGATGCTGCTGATGATGATGATGATGATGCTGATGATGATGATGATGATAATAATGATGCTGCTGCTGATGATGATGATGCTGATGCTGATGCTGATGCCGATGATGATGCTGCTGATGCTGAGGATGCTGATGCTGATGATGATGGTGATGATGACGATGACGACCATCACGATAGCGAGCATGTGCTGGTGCTGGAAAGTATGCGGAGTGGGGGCGACGAGGAGACAGAACAGCAGTGCCATAAGGAGAAGGAGGAGGCGGAGCGGGACGAGTAAGAGGAGGGGGAGGAGGAGGAGGAGGAGGAGGAGGAGGAGGAGGAGGAGGAGGAGGAGGAGGAGGAGGAGGAGGAGGAGGAGGAGGAGGAGGGGTCGCAGTCGCAGATCAGTGTGGCAGGGGCAGAAGGAGCAGGGGAAGTAGGGGCAGGTGTCAGGGGAGAAAGGGGGATGCTGATGGGGGGCGATAGTAAGAGGTCGTGGGTCAAGGGCGAGAAAGGCGCGGGCAGAGGGGCTGGTCGAGGGGGGGGGGGGGGAATGCCAGGTCCTGTACATTCACGACAATTACGTCTTCCTGGAGGCCACTGAGTCCCTCACCGGGGATCAGGCCTTCAGCTGCTGCCAAGGACTGCGTTGCCCCCGCACGCGCTGGCCGGTGGCCATGCTGGGGCGCCTTTGGGCCATCCTGGATTCCTGGATCCCTCTGGGGCCATCCTGGGATTCTGGATGGTCTCAGATTGCGTGCCCCCGCTCCTCAGTGGTTCCCGCCAAGTACCGCTCGGAGCCCTCTTAGGACTGTCTTTCGGTGCTCTTGGGGCTTGGGGTCTGGGCCCCTCTTGAGTGCCTCTTGCGCCATCTTTCAGGCATCCCGGGGCATCCTGCTGTCATCGGAAGTCGAGAAGGCGAGAATGAAACCACAATATGTAACACTAGTTGCTTGTGGCATGTCGTTTTCCAGTGGACAGTCTTGAGATGCCCGAGGGGTTCCTCGGAGCAAGTGTTTGAGCCATCTCGGGGTCTTGGATGGAGCAAGGTCGGAGGCCATCTGCGCAGACTGCGGCCATCTTGCGCTATGTGGGATGACACGCTGCGCTGTGCAGCGCCATCTTGGAGACACCCAGGGGCATCCTGAACGCCCTTAATTGATCGCGGCCCTGCTGGGTCAGACCCCCACATGGCGGGTAGAGGGCTTTCCCCGACGTGGAAGCAGGGGCTGTCTCATCACTTCGCTCCCTCCGCCAGCGGAACCTTTTTTGCTCCCGTGGTCGTCCGTCTCCCCGCTGGGCCCCCTTGGCCTCGTCCGTGCAGGGCCGCCGGGCCGCCTCCCTCGGGGCCGCGGAGCCGCCACTGGGCCGCGGAGCCCTCCGTTTTCGTGGTCGTGCGACGGACTCCGACACTGATCGGTGGTCTTGGACTTCTGCATGTGCACCTGTATAATGTTATCCGTTCGCAGGAATGGGAGCTCTCACTATGCTCTGGGCGGTCCCTGCGGCCTTCTCTCCGATGTGCGCCTGGCACGCGATTGTCAATTCATGCTCCCTCTGTTGGCCTGAGCGTGGTTTCGTCATTGCGGGTTGACTCGGCCGCGAGCGCTGATCTGGTGCCAGTTCTGGTGGGTTCGACTGAGTCTAGTACGATGCAGTCTCATCCAGCAGCAACCGTTTGCGTATTTATGTGAGGTAGGTGCTTGTTTTCCTTATCCTCCCTGGCGAGTATACCAGGACGTATGCATTATTGAACTTCGGGGGTCGGTAAGGCGATTGGTTTGGGCGATTAATGTCAACGGCCCACAGGCATTCTTTGATGGATCTACAGGGGCTGTGGGTTTTGGATGTTGGCGGTCCAAGCGGCCTTGAGAGGAAGTAGCTTGACTGTTTTGTCACGAAATGACAAGTGGTGTTTCTGACAGCCCAGAACATATGCAAGGAGGCAAGTGCGAGTACTTCTGGAACATGAACGAGATAAAAGATGCGGAGATGGAGGCTGAGAGGCTGAAGAAGAAGGCGTTGGAGGATACCGAACTCGTAGAAGTTGGCGGGATGTCGTACGGAATCAAGATGGCGAGCGAGACCTCCTGGCTCAAGCCCCACTTAAAGAGGAAGATGGGAGTTGACATCAAGGATAATCCCGGCGTGCTTGCGAAGGACCCTTCTCTTCGGCGGAACTTTGTCAGTCTTTTGGTCTTGCCTCTTTTCCCCATCCCCTCACATGCTCCTTACGTCACCATGTCGGCTTCTCGTCCTCCGATGGGGATCAGTTGACATGCTCCTCCCGGTTCAGCGGGGCTTGGATAAACCTGCATCTAGCGCAACGTGTGTGTGTGTAGTTGTGAATGTGTGTGTGTGTGCATGTTCAATGCATCGAACACTGCCAGCTTTCACGCCATTATCCGTGTTGGTCATCTCAGTATTGCCATTCTGCCCTTCGCGTCGTGTTGAGTGTTGAGCTCCTGGCTTCCAGCATCTCGCCGTCAGGAGGTGCCTGCACAACGGTGTGTACCACCCACATTGTAGAGGGAAGGTTTGGAAACGGTATCTTGGACAAGCAATTCAATGTTTTGAAGGGTTTCTTTGGAATTTGGCATTCGTGGCCGCTTTGTCCCATCTTTTTCGAGTTCGTTCCAGCCTCCGCCAGGTTTTCCAGCCCTGAAGTC